TTGTGGGTTTTGAAGTGATCTTGTGCCCTGATCTGAGAGCTTGCCGTCCTTAACTGAAGCAAGCCTGGGAGAATACCCAAGGCCACAAGACTCCCGCAATTTGCCACTGCTCAAGGGTGAGGCCACTCCCATGGCAAGTGCTGGGTGCTCGGCCAGTTCTCCATTGGGGCACCTCAGGCTCCGCAAGCCGCATTTCTTGCACCAGCTCGCTCAAACTTCAGGGAGCCGATGGCACTGGGCAGAAACATGCACGACTCTCGGAGACCGCTCTCTCTCTCCCTCTCTCTCTCTATCTGTCTCTCTCTCTGTGGCTGCATACATAGGCATGCATACCGTATACACAAGTGATTGTCCGTGTGTGCTTTGACATAGTCATGTGCATGTGTAGAACTACATGACATGAAGTATATGTATAATGTTTATGTGTTTAAATGTAAATCTGTCTGTGTGTATGTGTGTATGTGTGTAAAGAAACACAGATGCATCTGCATCTACCACTGGAATGCGGATGTTTGACACGTGAATGTCGGCGGGAAATGAGCCCAAGAAACCAAAACCCTAAACCCTAAACCCCAAACCCCAAACCCTAAACCCTAAACCCGAAAAAGGCTCCCAGGGATGGTGCGGACGGTTCCGTGGTTTTTTAAGGTATGAGGGAACTGAAAACAAATTACCATAATCGGGTTACGTGAAACCAATTGTAAGATACCGCAATCGGTTTACATGTGGTAAACAATAATCCAGTTTAGCTGTCTGGGCTACATCTGAACGTGCCTTGAGCCAACTTAAGAACCTGAAGCCTCAGACTCCGTAAACCCTAAACCCTAAACCCTAAACCCTAAACCCTAAACCCTAAACCCTAAACCCTAAACCCTAAACCCTAAACCCTAAACCAAGTCCAGAAACCAAACCCCGCAACGCAAGCCTAACACCTGCGCTTGGTGCGGCACTTCTGATGCGCTAGCCGCGTCGTTTCGGCGCTACCGGGCGCCTTAGAATCTTAGAATACAGGTTGAGGGTTTAGGGGTATGTAGGGTTTAGGGTTTAGAGGGTTTAGGGTTTAGGGTTAGGGTTTAGGGTTTAGGGTTTAGGGTTTAGCGTTTAGGGTTTAGGGTTTAGGGTTTAGGGTTGAGGGTTCCGGGATCAGGGTGAGGGGTTGCGGTTTAGGTTGTCAAGCTTTCGGGTCGGAGGTGTAGAACGGCCTGAGTCACGTGAGATTCAGGCTTAGCTACCATTGTACACAGATCTCGAATGGAGGATTGCATGGGTTTATGGGATATAAAAAGAACGTGAAATGAACGTGTACAAAGCGTATTTCGATGATGTTGAAAACGTAGAAAAAAAGTGGAAAAAAAGGCAGAAAAATCGTGCTTCCAGAAGGAAAACCACGTTTTCCTATGTAAAACGTCAAGCTAAAACGTGAAAACAAAGTTAGACAAGTCGTGCTTCCTAAAACGTGAAAAAAGTAAACATCGCAATGTTACACCTTGTTTCCACGTTTTGCACCTGTTATCCACAATATTACACCTTTTTACCACGTCGTTTCCACATTGTTTCCACGTTTTTTTCCAGATTTGTTCTACGCTTTTTCTACGCGATCCCAAAAAACCTATTCACGTCGTTTTTACGTTCTTTTCACGCTATTTTTAAGTCTAACATCCAGCCCTCCTCCATTGAATCCTGTTTACAAAGCTACAATTCCCATGTCGCTCAGGGCTGCTTAGCTTCCTAAACCCTAAACCCTAAACCCTGAGCTTACCACCATGGGAAGCATGGTGCATCAAACCAGAACACCTCTGCTCAAGCAAAAGACGGTTACCTGTGAAGACATCTGGTCCGGAACCCTTGGTACTGAATGCTTTTGATCTCCGCACTCGTCGGCCGCAGCCGTTGCGCACGGTCGCTCCCCGGATCAGCACCCACAACGACACCTGCCAAGGGTCGGCACTTCCAGTTCCCGGCCCCCTACGTTGTCTCATGGTCCAGCCATGTCCTCACCAGAGCCAGCAAGCTCAATTTAGGGCATTGAAGGTTACACCTGAAACTTTATAGGGACTGATCCAAATTCAGGGTGTTTTCAGGCGGCATCGGGCACAAGTCCCCCCAAGCAGGCAAGGTGCACCTCATGGGTTCATAGTTGGTGGCAAGCAGATATTGCGGATCTTTGGGGGAGGGGGGGGGGGGGCACGGGGGGTACATGTCCCTCAAAAGTTACTCAAAAGGCCGAATGTCCTGAGTCTGCTAGGGGGAGGCTTGACTTGGGTTCCGGAAACACCCCTGGCCTCCATCCCACATCCCAAAACGCCTGGAAACTCCGGCCGGACCTCGCGATGTTTATGCCTTCTTCTTCTCGTAGAGGCAGGTGTGCTGCTTGGAACTGGGCTCGGCATCAATCAAAGCTCTGCAATGGATCTTGCTCGCATGGATTTTGGGAGTCTTGGCCGACTACCTGAGGCCTTGTGGTGTAACTGGGTTTCCAGCCTGTACTTGAACAGGGATCGAAGTAGTATAAGGTTTTATTTTCTGATTTCACCCCAACATCAGGGCGCATTCAGTCCCCGGGAGCTCTTCCTGGCCCCATTTTCGTTCGGAGCTAAAGAGTCACGCTTAAGACTACGTAGGGGTTTCACTACTCCAGGAAGCTCTTCTTTATGGATGGTTCTGTTCTCAATCTACAAAGGAACGCTTCCGGCATGCCGTTGCGGGCAGCCCAGGCGGCTGACAATATTCCAGAAGCTCCACTCGGCATACCGCGGCACAACAAAGGGTAATAACGCAAGGGCCGAAATGATTAGAAAAGGGTTGGGGATATTGTAGTATAACTTTCATGGGACTATGAGGGAAATACTAGTAGGAATGATTCCGACCCCCATATTAGATGTTTTCAGCGGTCGACTTCCGGTGCGTCTTAACACAGCAGTCTTGGTTTGTTTCGGATTAGCTGGCTAAGCCACACAACACAAGCCGAGCAACAAGGTCCATACACAACTTGTAACCGGACTCCTCCCAGCTGATTTAGGTTGTGGCAAGTGGCTCCAGCAAGGACGAGTCAGTGATGTTCCACCGGGCGTCCACAAGCATGAAGTTGATAGTATCACCTCGGGCATTAGTGAGGAAGGACCACCATCAACTCGAAATACCAAAGGCCCAACTCAACCCTCAAACTGGATGAAGGTCAGATCCGTAAGCTACCCAAGCCCAAACCCCACGCCCTCATGAGGCTCAGAGTCTCGCACTTACAGGGGGTCCCAAGCGCCCGGCACTTGTCATCTGAGATGCCCCAGCAGGCAGGCCCCATCCTGGAAATGCAAGAGAGACTTCATCGGCGAAGGGCTTTTGCGAACGAATCAACGTACAGCGACTCAACATGTTTCAACCCTATAAAGCACAGAGCTGCTGAGTTCCATGAGCGTTGCAGATCACACTAAGTTTAGGATGTGCGTGGCACTGTTATCCTCCATGCGAATGACTACTGCAACATCTGCCGCCTGCAGGAATGCTTGCTTGCATTCAAGAATTTGGGGATGTCACCCTACTGTAGCCTACGCTATCTCCATCCCACTACGACTCATGACACATCACAAGTCGTTGATGATATAAGTGATATGAGTCATTGCTGCAGCCTCAGAGGCCAAGCTGCTCAATTTCTGAGGAAGTCATAAGAACGAACATGCTGTCCAGCCCAACAAACCCTCTCACGACGCCAAGCCTTTCCCTCTTTAGCATGTATAATATGCCCAGTGGATCCCTCAGCCATGGGCTCTCACTCTCGTTCAAAGAGCTCTAAATTACTAAAGGACTCTAACGCCAGCATACGTGCAAGCATGCGAGCGCGCGCGCACACGCGCGCGCGCGCGCGCGAATGCCCGTTAATCAGTGTGCAGGCGCACAAGCTAGCAGTAGCATCCGTAAAGGCGCGCCTGACATAGCGTGAGTAATTGCCTGCCGACGTGATTGCGTGCTTGCATGTTGCTGAGCAAGGGAAAAGCAAGTCGGCGGCATGCAAGCAAATACAAGCATGGTCCATGAATGAAAACATGTGCACGCGCACCTGCTTGCGAGCGTACAAGCAAGTATGACAGCAAGCAGCATGCAAGGATGCGCAGAAACACAAGCAGGTTTGCACACCAGCAATTTCAAAAGCAGATACGCAAGCGTGCGCAACATGACGGCGCATAATGTTGACACCGAGGGGGGGTGGGGGGCGAGTGAGAAGCTTTCAGTTCAGCCCCATATTCACCCTTACCTCATGACGAGAAGCACATGATTTAACTCTATGATTCGCTGCTTAGCCAAATTCTGCGTCCTAAGGCCTGGAACTGGTCCATACTATCGTGCGCGCCAACCCCCTCATCCTCCCGTTGCCCCCCAGCTCCCAAAACCAAGCAACAAAAACACATTGTACGTAGTATCCCCAGCCATGCCCACCCTGCCTGAGGCAAGCCATTCGGGCCTCTTCGATCGACTTGTATGTCGTGCTGCGGATGAGCTTCCTCATGGCAGGAGGGTAGTAGGGCTTCGGGCCCGAAGACGGAGGTCGAGGGCTTGAGCTCTAGGACTCAGGATGATAGCATGGAGGATGGTGGGCGGCCTTGGCTCGAATAGCTTTTGAAGTGCTCACTCTTACGGCACTGCTCCGCGTCCGTGCTTTGAGCACTGCTCAGCGTTTGCACTCGAGCGTGCAAGCCATCCGCCCTTCAGGTCCAAGTTCAAGGTCCACATACATACATACATACATACATACATACCTACCTACGTACCTACGTACCTACGTACCTACGTACCTACGTACCTACGTACCTACGTACGTACGTACGTATATATATATATATATATATGATATGTGCGTGTGTACAAAACATGCATGCACACAAACACAGGTAAATATGAATCAAGTGATCAAACTCTGCATCGTTATATATGTATATGTATATGTGTACGTATCCATATATTTAATGAGTATTATATGAACCCTCAAGCCAATAATAAGCATAGGACCTTTACCAGCCCAGGTGCGTTGACGTCAGGTACTTGTCCTTGATGACGTTGTAGTCATCCTCGAGCGCGCGATAGAGAAATGCTCGGGTCCCCGATGCAAAGCACCCGTGCTACTCCAGATCAGAACCTCCCAGATCCTGCCAAAACGAACGCCAATCTGGAACAACCCAGAAATCCTCTCAAAAGACCAGCTTAAGCCCAAAAGGCTTGGTCTCAAAAATCCGCTCCTCAAAGCTCCGAAGCGAAGCTCATGTCTTTGATGAACATGCGCGAACGACTTGCGTTTACAGCGCCTTTGCCTGTCTGCACAACATACTGCACCAGGATGTTTGATGTTTCTGGAACAAGACACGCTGTCACAGGCGCTCATGCCTTTCTTGAATGTGGCGCTCGACCGTTGTCGTGGGTGCCATGCTTGTCGGGACACTCCCGTGGAACAGGGTAACCTATGCCTTCCGCACTGTGTAGATAGGGATAGTTATGAGCTGAACCCTAAAAACCCTGTCCAGATAGCCGTCGCACTGCAAGCGCTGGGCAGACACAACCTGTCGCTGGCTGGATGTTGGACGCTGGTAAGGTTTAGAGGTTATCTGGGGTTATTATTCTTAACACTTTCGTGTTGTCATTCTTCGTGTGTGACATCCAAATCATAAAGCCCCATAAATACCTCATATTTTGTGCATACTCCGCTTTATGATATCTGACCATATATACTAAACACAAGACATACTCCCCCATACAGGATCTTTAGATCAAGATCAACCTCCAGTTGGCTGTTTTGGGATTTAGGGGCCAAAGCTTTCAGGGCAAGACAGGATCGCGCGCGTGGCTGCCCAGCATTACTGCGCGGATCGGAATCGTTAGGCATGGGGCAGTTGCAGAGATCAGCAAGTACTTGAGGAGGAACTTAGGGCTTATGTTTGGTCGAACCCCCTAGAAACCCTGAACCCTAAACCCACAGTGGGGGATGGATCCCTCAGTGATCCCAATCCCGGATCGCTTGACGCATCTGAATCTCTCCTTCACCCTCGGGACCTAATCAGAAACTGTGATCTAGGGTTTAGGGTTTAGGGTGTAGGGTTTTAACACGCACATGTCGCTTTGGCATCCAAGGCCTGGTTCGTCTCCGCCCCACAGCAGGAACCGGTTCCCACAGCTTGTCCGATCCTGGCCATGAGGATTTGCAGGATTGAAAGTATCGATTCCGGAGACTACCCCCAAGATACCTACAAGTTCCTACTGGTAGTTTATAACTTATAACCTGTACTTAGAGGGCGAAAACCTACTCATTGGATGTCATTAGCAGAGTTTCGGGTGTAGGTGTAGGGTTAATTTGTTGGTGGCCCCACGGCTGCCCGAGATCTTTGCACAGGGACGGCTCGCAGGAGCATCACGAAAAACGACAGAGGACGGACAAGCAAGCTGCAATCCCGAGCACCAAAGCACAGATACCTGGGAACATGTGCTCACGAATGCTGTGACAGGATCTAGCTGGAGAGTTGATTCCTAGGTATAGAACGTCTTAATGCCCTATAATGCCCTAGTGCTGCAACCGTGCAACTCGTCATATAGAAGGTGCCTTGAATCTTAGAGACTGCCTTGAGAAATCGGGGGGCATGAGCAGCAGGATGAGTAGTTGAGCAGAGCACATATGACCTGCAAGCCTCTCTAGCTGCAGTACGCTCACAAATCATACCTACTTTGGGCTTGGGGCGGGCGGTATGTACTTCCCGCTCCTGTTCTTCATCACCCGCACGCCGTTGGTGATACCTGGGCTGCCAAAGGGATGCTTCAGAGCCTCGGGCTTTAGCCCTGGATACTTTAGGACTCCCAGTGCGCACAAAGAATGCCTCGTTGGGAACCGAAGTCTGGAAAAATTCGCTCGTCCCTACCTGGGGCTTATAGGGTTTAGGGTTTAGGGTTTGGGGTTTAGGGTTTAGGGTTTAGGGTTTGGGCTTTGGGGTTTGGGGTTTAGGGTTAGGAGCTCTTGGGCACCAAAGCCAAGCCTACGTGAAGTCGAGGGGCCCTGCTTGACGCACGCATCGGCCTCGTCCAGCTCTGCGCTCGCGCAGCCTGGCGTGAACGTCAAACCTACCTTGAAGAGCATAATTATGGGCTACAGCTTCCTAGTTTAGGGGTATAGTAGCCATTTTCTTGTAACTAGGCGTTTCAGGTAAAAGCAAGCCAAAAATCCTCGTCACTTGTTTACCTGCCCAGTCTGAGCTCCAACCAACATAGCTAGGGTTCAATTGGTTTAGGGTTTAGGGCCCTGCCTGTGAAACGGAAGACCTCGTCAAAGGCCTGGCAGAGAGCTGGTGGCATGTTCATATTGGGGATTGAGGGATGTTTAGGAGCCCCCCCAAAGACCTCGCAAGGCTAAACCTCAACTGCAAGGACAGTCTGATAAACCCTTGATCTGAATGCAGACTCTGATCTCACGGACCAAGTTCTTGATTAGAAGGACCTCAACCCGCCGCGCCTGTGACTTAATGATCAGCGTCCGCCACACCGAATTATTGCCCTGTCATCACAGGCCGGCAAATTCACAGTCAACCGTGTGTGCGTGTGCATGTGTGTGCGTGCGCGGGTGCGGGTGCGGGTGCGGGTGCGGGTGCGGGTGCGGGTGCGGGTGCGGGTGCGGGTGCGGGTGCGGGTGCGGGTGCGGGTGCGAGCGGGTGCATGCGGGTGCATGCGGGTCCGCGGGCGTGCGCGCCTGTGTGCGTGCGTGCGTGGGTGGGTGCTGGGAGGAAGGGAGGGAGGCAGGGTGGGTGGGTGCCTGTGTGTGTGTGTGTTGCGCCGATGATGTCCCAGCAGCCTTGTGGGTATAGGGCCATGACGAGGCGATAGAACCATTCACACACACACACACACATGCAGGCTATGTAGCTCCTAAAGGTATCAAGAGCCCTGACCCTCGGCTCTACCATATATATATATATGCATAGATAGCGCTTGCAGTTGCATGACCCTGCAGTTAGCAACGGCTGCCATACATCCTTCGATCAAAGCAAGCCTCAGGCAAGTCACGAGGCACTGCGGGAATCTACATGCCTGGTATAGGGGGGGTTGAAGGCCATTGTGGAATTCAGAACTTTCTGGCTCAAAAGAGCACCTAACTATCCTTGAGCTTTGGACTCGATCGAATCCACGGTCCTTAAGCTTAAGCCGTACACCCCGAACCCTCCCCGACCTCCGAGTCCTCTGATTACAACTACCCTGCCTTCTGGGCGTCGGCACGGGTAATGTTGACTTCCCAGTCGCATAGCTGGACCACGGTCGTGGTGGTGGTCGTCTGCGAAGCTGTGTGATGCGATGAAGTCAGACCCTGTTCTCCGGTACTCTATTTTAAAAAAATTTCGGGATGTGGCAGTTCATTCTGTTGTGGCCGCAAGTTGGCTTGTCATCTTCGCCATCCGAAGACTATGTGGCTAGGGACTTGAAGCACTTCAACTGATTCAATCGAAGCTATCGAAAGATTTGCGAGACATCATTTTGTGATGGTGGCTGGTGCCAGCTCTGAGCGCGCCACCCCGGATCCGAGCTGCATGTGGATGATGCAGCTGCCTTGACCCACGGACATCGGGATTGTTTTAAATGGGTGCGACCGTCGACCCTTTCGTGCGACCCTTTCGCAGGAAATCCTCTTAAGGTGTGCACCATCAGGGGACACTGTTTTAGAACAGTCCCACCACATAGCCACAAAGTGCATCATCACCACCAGAGCTCGGGCACCCTTCACGGAAGCTCCAATGCTGCTCGGTCTGCCTGACGGCCCTAATCGTCTCTAGCATCATTCCTTTCCGCGTAGTGCAGGCATTTCGCTACATCTAGCCTCGGCCTCTGGCATAAGAAGGGCCTCTGCACCTCTATTTGGGGCTATGGGTGCCCTAAACCAGAAACCGATCCCCGATCCGGTCCGGGTGGCCAATTGCAGATTCCTCCACCTCATGCAGGTCCAAGCCGGGGGAGGCAATCAGGACCACCGGAGACGCCTCCACGCTGTCTTGAGGCCCAAGGCCTTTATGGATTTAGGGTTTAAGTGAGTGTTTAGGGTAGAGGAGTTTGGTTGAGGGTGTAAGATTCCATGACGAAACTGAATGCCTAAGCCTCAAATGGAGTTCCTGCATCTGCGCATGCAACTGCTATTTTCGTTACCAAACAAACAAACGAAGGTGAACTACAAGCGGGGGTCTGGAGTCTACGTCGCGGCCCGCGGCGATGTAATAGGGCCGCAGATGCAAGAGACAGCGCAGAGGCAATGATCAAAGCGTCAAAGAGTCCCCGAAGCTTTGTGACGGTGTACAGCCGCGAAGCCAAGCAGATGGATAATAGTCCTACTGCCATGTTAGGGTGGTTTAGGTCCCCCCAAAAGTCCTCCGATGCACCGTCGCACTTTGTGTCATAGACGCCGAAGCCTCATGCTCTGGGCTGACTGGGGATTTGAGTTTGGGGAGCAAAGCGTATCCAGAACTTGGCAGCACGACCCACTGCCCAATCCTTGCCATGTAGGAACAGCTGGCAGACAATACTGAAGACATGCAAATGATTGATTGACACGCTGCCCGGCTTCCCACAAATGCCGGCAAGCCCACAGGTCAAGCTGATTCCAAGAACTCAACGTGAAGAGCGCAGCCTCTTTCATCTTAAAACCCTGCAATGCACTGCGTAGTGTTGTGAGCGTCTTCTTGCAGTGAGAGAGCAATGCACGGAGCCCATAGCTTCACAGGCAGCCGTAGCGTCCTGTGTTGGCCAGGAGCTTTGAGAAAGGCGTCTAAAGACTCACAGCGCAGCAGGCTATAACAACCCCATGAGCCGGTAAGAGCCTACTCGCCCCGGAGCCCTAAATCCTAAGGCTCCAAGGACTCCTAATCTAAGGTTTTTGAGCCCGAAGGCCTTATTCTTGAGGGTTTTGGGGCCATTTCGAGCCCAAGGCTAAACCCTAAAAGTTCCAAAATAACTGCGCTGGTCTTGCTATCAGCCAGGTGCCTTCAGGCGGCGTGCAAGTGATATAATATAATACAATATACTAGAATGTAACAGAATAGAATTTAAAGCGAATATATACATATATATATATATATGTATGTATGTATATGCAGATATATGCTAGCATCTATACATATAAATATAGCATATATATATATAATACATAGAATAGTTGTATATTAGTATTGAATTAGAACAAAAACCTTGTGCTTCTTCTGATCCCAGTCTGCGTTGCGCAGTCCTCCATCGAGCTGTATTTGGCCGGCATGTTTGTGGCCTCCAAATCGCCACAGCATGGCGACTTAGCCCTTAGGGTTTTAGGGTTTAGGGTTTAGGGTGTAGGGTTTCATTAGGGTTTAGGGTGCATTATAATATGTCTTCAAAGTCTCAGGCTTTCCGACCCCCGATCTGAAAACCCAAGCTGACCTGTGGCTTAACGTGCACAAGACCTGCAGGGACATAGGGGGCGGGGGAGGGTCAGGACAACACCACACCCAAAGCTCCTCTCCGTCTTGAGTCGCCTATCACATCATGAAGAGAGATCTTGCTGACCCTGGACCAGTTGCTGCTAAGGAACTGTCGGCCGTGCTGACTGTGTAGCGAGTTGAGGATGCCCATGCCCCATCGGAGGTTGTTGCAACTGACGGTCCCCTTTTTGGTATACTTTGTTTGTCAACAGGACCCTGAACAAAAATACCGCAATTCAAAACAACCACGTTGCCGCCTGATCAATGAGGTAGTGGTTGGAATCCACGTAGGCATTGCCTTCACTGCAAGAGTTTGGGTCTCGTGGTCAGTGAATCTGGTGAACCCCATTCCCTGTTGGACACCCTAAACCCTAGACCCTAAACCCTAAACCCTAAACCCCAAACCCTAAACCCCAGAACAAACCCGATCTGCTGCTTCTTGCAGCACTGGGAACCCTATATTTGCTTGGTTGGTCGATGAGTGTGAACCCAACCAAGCTGTAAGATGGTTAAGTGTGCTGATGAAACAAACTATCCGCATAGCACAGCGACAAGGTAACCAGAAGCAAGCCACATGCTTGCTAGCTCCGTGGGATCTTATTCTACAACTTGAAAGTCGCAAACGCTTTGCGCATGTAGCTCCTGCTGGGTTGCATGTTGTTTGTGGCTGTGGGTTCTGGCGAGTGACCTGCCCCAACCAATCAAACTATACATCAAACCCTGAAACCTAAACCCCAAACCCCAAAACCCTACTAGCGCCCAGGGGGCCTGGATGCCTGAAGGCCCATAATAAACAAACACGACACCCCCAAATTCCCAAATTGAGAGCCGGAAATCCTCGGCCACCAAACCGAACTGTGGGCCCATTTCTTAGGAATCCCACAAGGGACTCGTAGGGTTTAGGGTTTAGGGTTTAGGGTTTAGGGTTTAGGGTTTAGGGTTTAGGGTTTAGGGTCCTACTCTCTGCATCCAAGACTCCATAGGTGGTCCAGCTATACCAGTCTACTGAGCAGCAGGAGGCCATGCAGCGCGAGGCAGTGATGCCTGCCGACATTCAATTGGGGATCAGGGTTTGGGTTTTTTTTATAAGGGTTTTAGGGGTTTTAGGGGTTTTAGGGTTTAGGGCTCAGCTCTAATTACGGTGGTTGAGAAGCTTAGTTTTGGGTGGCGTGGAGGGGGGATATAGCTTTGGGAATTGCGATGGGTCGTGGTGACTCAAGGCACCTGGCACGATGCATCTTCACCAGGCGGCGCGATGTCTTTGCTGCATGTCCGCGGAATCTCTAGTCGAGGCATAACTTGTCCTACGCTGCCTGGGTTGTTTCGAAGCAGCGCCGGTAGTGCTGGGCCATTTGGTGACCAACCAACTCAACCAAAGAATCTGCATCGTGCACAAGACGCTGGCGGATCTCAGTTGAGGAAAGGCTGCCACGAGGCGTCGAGAGCACCAGAGGATCGTCTTCCACACCATGGTCTCGAACTCGATCTTCGCCCATGACTCGAAAGACCCTGGCGCCCATTGCAGCAAAGGCACGATCTGTTTGCACGCGAATGGTCATAGCAGAGCCTGTGAAGTTGCGGAACCCGTCGTCGAAGCAGGCCGCCATGCCCTCTTCTTCAAGGAGTAGTTGAAATAGCTCCACACGCTGCGCCCATGAAAAAAGGAACGAGCCCTGCACTTGCATCTTCTGCCGAAGCCTTGCATCACTCTTGGGAGCTACTACGAACATGACGTCCTCCACCTTCAGCGAGATGTTCCGTGCTGCTGCAAACATCGCTTCGAGGTGACCGTGGTGCGGCGGATTGAAGCTCCCAGCAAAGTAAAGGATCGGGCGTGGGTGCCGCCGGAAGCCTTCCTGAACGGAGCGTGGCACCGAGTATGTCGTGCTCATGGTGACGATGTGTCCACGAAAGGGACTACGAGTGGCCCAGCAGGCCAGGGCCACAAACAGTAGTAATGCTCCCTTTGACGGTCCCATATCTTGAGCCGACTCTGCGAAGTGCATCAGACTGGGGGTCCTGTGTTGGGTTCGCTGCAATAAAGCTTTATTACTATTACTATTATGATGACTGTATTACTGTTCTTATTCTTCTTGTTATTCTTATTGCACATGGTGGGGGGTTCTCTCAATCCTGGTCTTTTTTGGCTTCTTCGGAGCCCTGCTAGAGAACTGCCCACCTTGTTCTTGGCTTCACAGCTAAACTCGAACCCCAACACCCCACGCAATGCAACGTGTCTGTCACATGGGAGTCCGTCAATCCCAGAAAGCTTGATCTGAAACCATGAACCCTAAACCCTAAACCCTAAATCCAGACCCAAGAGTCGACCTTCTGGCATTAAAAAGGTACCCTTTATGGTTTTATTACAGGGCGGGCGGACCAGGGACCCCAAAGCCCTAAAGTGAGAGAGAGCGCGTACTCGGGGGTCCTGAAACCTTAATAGAAGGGTCGGAAGAATTACTAATAGTACTCCTGTCTGGTCCCTCTATAAACAACCAAAAACCCTGCTCAAATTATTAAGGCCCTTGTAGTCTGCACCCTAAGCCGCCTTTCGAGCTGTACTCCGTCGCATCATAGTTGCTGGAATTTGGCAGCAGGATCGCGGTGACTCCTCGTCCAAGGACCAGGACTCGGGGACGAACTGAAAGGAGGTTTCGGTTTTGGAGCCAGCGGTTTTGGGGGGCTTAGGGGTTTTACGGTTTATGTTCGGGGTCTAGGGCTGGGGGGTTTGGGGGGGGTCAGGGGCTAGAGCGATGCTTGCACCTTAACAGAGTGAGACTTTTCAAGGCCACAGTCTAAGTCTGAGACCCTTCGGAAGTCAATCAGTCAATCAACACAGCCCTAAACCCTAAACCCTAAACCCTAAACCCTAAACAAGAAGGGCGCTCCAGTGCTGCAGACGTCCGGCATGGTGTAGCTGGGCTGCTTCACGTTCTCATGGTTGTCCACACCTTGGCATATTGTGGGCGTTTTAGGGTTTAGGGTTTAGGGTGTAGGGTTTTAGGGTATAGGGCTTAGGGTTTAGGGTACAAGGGCGGCACTGGGCATTTTGGGTTTTGGGGCTAGAATTTTTGGGGATTTCTTGCGCCATCTTTCTGAAAACCGCAGTATCTCCTTTCGACGTTGGCTCGGGCTTCATCGCATCTTGGGCCGGCACACAGGGATTTCCAAAGCAACTTTCAGCTTTCGACATTGAAGGGTTCCGAAGGGGCCCTATCAAGAGAGTACTCAACTTCTATATGGGTTTCAGAGGGTGTATTGTGGGGATTATGGCTTCTAGAGCCGAACATAAGCTCCAAGTCAACCTCACAAAAAATTGCCCAGGCACAAGTGCTGTTCACCACGTCCGTGCTGTGCCTGTCACAGACCCCAAAGCCTAGATTGAGGCAACCCGACGCCAAAGGGTGGGCACCAATTGGGACTGATCAACATTACTTATGGGCCCCTTATAGCACCCCCCCCCCCCCCCCCCCCCCCCCCCCGAAACCCTCCTGCTACAAAGCCTTGTCGCGCCAGCTTGTCTCAATCCCTTGTGCGGCCGTCTAGACCCAACCTTCCTTGATTCCGGTGCCTAAATGTAAACCCCAAGTAGAGAAGCGTTTAAAGAACAAGAATGTCTCTAGGCCTGGCCTAGGCATGTACTGTATCTTCTCTGCACAAGCTGTTCCATATCAAACCCTGAACCCTAAACCCTAACTCCCCAAACCCTGAACCCTAAACCGTAAATGCTAAACCCCAAACCCCCAACCCTGAACCCTAAACCCTAACAGCCCTGGACCACCTGGTGTTAATGCACTCATCGATCTTGGAATCCATGTCGTCGGCAGCGAATGCTTCCAGCAGGCATTGGATGCCTTTGCTCTGGCAGAGCTCTGCATCCATTAAAAACCCTCGCTTTGATTCCCATTTTTTCCCCACCTTCGGTGTGGGCTTGTTAGATTTTAAACTCAACTCTTCTCTCTTCTCCTCGCCCGGTCAGCTCCTAGAGACTCCGTGGAGTGCCCAAACACAGAGTCTTTCTGGAGTGCCAATGCAGAGAGTGTTTCTGGAGCGCATTTTGAGAGTCTTCCTGGAGTGCCCAACCCCAGATTGCCCAACCACAAAGTTTCCCTGGAAAGCCCCGCCAGAGATCCCTGGAGTGCCAAACTCCAGAGTCTCCTTGGAGTCCCCACCTCAAAGTCTCCCTGGAGTGCCCAACCCAGAGAGACTGCCTGGAGTGCAGAATACCAGAGACTCCCTGAAATTCCCAACCCGAGAGACTCCCTGGAGTGCCAAACCCCGGAGACTTCCTGGAGTGCCCAAATCCAAATCCCTAAGGTGGGGACGTTCGATTTTATTTATTGATTCATTTTTATTGTTTAGTATATATATATATATACACTTTTTTATTTTGGGGGGGGGGGGGTAGGGTTTAGGTTTTTTTTTTTTAGGGTTTAGGGTTTAGGGTTTAGGGTTTAGGGTTTAGGGTTTAGGGTTTAGGGTTTAGGGTTTAGGGTTTAGGGCTTAGGGCTTAGGGCTTAGGGCTTAGGGCTTAGGGCTTAGGGCTTAGGTCTTAGGCCTTAGGGCTTAGGGCTTAGGGTTTAGGATGCCATGTTTCATTCTTGGGGTGGGGAGAGGGGAGGGGGGGGCCTGGCATCCCTGGCGTCTCGGGCAACTTCTCGATTGTTCCATGGTTCATAGAAATGATGTGTACAAACACTAAACCCTAAACCCTAAGACCTAAACCCTAAACCCTAAAACCTAAAACCTAAACCCTACACCCTGACCCTAAACCCGAAACCCTAAACCCTAAACGGCATTGCATGATGCACACAAAACGGCACCGCCTTCGCGATGCGGCATGGAAGCCCATGAGGCTTCAGGCAAGCTGCGATGCTCGAACGCTGAACCAACCACTCTGCAATCGTGAGCCTGCATCCCTCTTCCCGTAACACATACGTATATACATCTACATGTGTGTATATGGATATTGTTCCTAGTATATGTGTATATATATATATACAGATTCTTGTAATTATATTGTAACATACATGCATTAACATGCTATGTATAGGTGTGTGTATACTGTACCTAAGCATCCTTCGATAGCCTGACAGGCCAAGAGGCGCTTAATTGCGCGGTACTCGTACTTCAGATCCTCGCAGCGGGCCGATTGTACGGTGTCCCTCACACTCTTGTAATGCCAGTAGGATTTAGGGTTTAGGCTTTAGGGCCATGGTTTAGAGTTTAGGTTAAGGGTTTAGGGTGTAGGAGACAGCGCTCGCTTGATAATACCTGTAGGGTCGAGATTGGTTGAGTTGTACTGCTGCGAGCATCCCCCGAAACATGTTGAGGAGTTTCGTGCGCCTGGATGGTGTCGTTTGATGACGTCACCTCCTCCATATACGAGTGCCAGTTGCCGTCGTAGCCTGAAGATAACCCTAAACCCTAAACCCTAAACCCTAAACTGGGTGCAGGGTTTCCGAGACCCGGTTTCTGCCAATGTTGTGTCGTGCGACACGGAACTCAGACACTCTGGCGGAGGAGCTTTGGGATCCCGGGTGGCAGGAATGTTGGGGTCGATCCCTAAACCCTAAACCCTAAACCCTAAACCCTAAACCCTAAACCCTAAACCCTAAACCCTAAACCCTAAACCAATGGGTGGATTGAAGAGGCCTAGCCAGCCTGTTAGGGTCTCGGGTTTAGTTATAGACCTCCATACGGACCTCCGTACTAGAGCCAAGCCCGAAACATTTGCACCCTAAAGAATACATAAGCCTTACCAAGCCCCCTAGATGGACGTGGCAGGTCTCAGCCAGGAGGCAGTCGGGAAGCGGTTTGCACGACTCGTTGGTCCTGAAAAAGGAGGTTGGCAATGTTAGGGTTTTGGGTTTTGGTAGTCCGTTCGGTTACTACCTGTACAGTCTTTTCTTGTTGCTCATGGGCTTGTAGCGCTTGGGTTTTGTTACTTGTTGTGCCCGAGATAGATTCAACCCTCATCCAGGCACTAAAAGCCTTCAAAAAACAGTCCAAGAAGCCTAAAGCCCACTCTGACTAGCCCTAAACTTTGCCCTAAACCCGCTAAACCCCCTAAACCCCCGAAACCCCCCAGACCCCCCAGACCCCCGAAACCCAATAAACCCCCTACCTCACATCGTGGCTCCTTTCGTGGACATCGCAGGCCGTCTGTTCGAGCTTGAGCTGGGCTGTCTCGCACTCTGCGACCTTCTCGTAGTAGGCCACCTGGTGTTCGGGTCTTCGAGGGTTTCTACGTTTAATTTGGGATTACTTGGGGTATGCATTGCGTTTAGTGCATTTTGGGTTTATAGAGTCTTGGTGTTTAGGGCTTACGGTAGCCTAAACCCTAAACCCTAAACCCTAAACCCTAAACCCTGAACCCTAAACCCTAAACCCTAAACCCAGTTGGGGTCTTCAGGATTGTTTAGCTTGTTGAAGTTTCTTTGGGCCGTGCTGAGGGCCGTCTGGGGGTGTCTTGAGTTGTGGGGTTCGGTCTGCCATTTGGGTTTAGGGTTTAGGGTTTAGGGTTTAGAGTTTAGGGTTTAGGGTTCCAAGCCTTATGTACTCTAAACCCTGCAGGACAAGGGCTCCGACGGTGGCTTTTAAAGGCATCGTTGCCAAGTTGAAGAGCCCACGTTTAAGGGTTTAGGGTTTAGGGTTTAGGGTTTAGGCTCCCTCAATTCAGTATCATACCTTAAAACGATGTGGGGGGTCCTGATTATGAATCTTTGAACAGAAGTAGACTCCTTTATTAAGGGGTATTGGGCTTTCTGGATCCTGCTTCTGAATCATTGAACAAAAGTGGATTACAGAGTCCCCTGAACCCTGCGCCACCATAACCTCTAACCCTATGCAGGTATAGCGGTTTAACCCTAAACCCTGAACCCCAAACCTTAAAACCCCAAACCCTAAACCTAAACCCTAAACCCCAAACCCTATACCCTAACACTAAACCCCACATATAACCAAAAACACAAATCCGAACCCCAGCCTCCACATCGATGCACTTGTACTTGGTGATGTTGACGGTGACATTCCTCGGAACACGACTGGGCGGTTGGGAAACCCGGGCAAATCAATACTATGTATATAATAAGAATAATTAACAACAATAAGAATAATGGTGTGTATATATATATACATATGTATGATATCTTATCATCATCATCATCATCATCATCATCATCATCATTACTATAATAAGTATTGTTGCTTGTTTATATGGCAGAAAATAATAGGTATCGTATAGTCATACACTAGAGTTTCCGGCCCGCTGCCAAATGCGGACTAGGCGTATGGTGACTAGGATCGCGATTAGTATGATGCATTCATCATCATGTTATATATTCTGTACATACATAAATCACATTAACCTACATGCTATATATATATATATATATATGTATATATACTTTCCCCGCAGAGCTCTTGGATGCCCCTCCTTTGAAGGAGGATGCATAGGGATGTAGGCATGTGTGCGCACACATCTAGGGGGACCACAGATGCCAACGTATGCGCAGTAGTGGGATTCGGGTTTGGGGTTTACACACAGTCTGGGAAAGTACGAAAATAGGGGACCCAAAATGTAGACGCCCAAATAGTACAAGTAGGATTCCCTTGTAATACGGGCCCTAAACCCTAAACCCTAAACCCTAAACCCAAAATAAGGTACCCCTAATTTCGGACACCCCCATGTGGCTCTGCCAAGGGTCTCAAGCTTGTAATAGGTCTCCCAGAAAGTGTCTTTGCGATTCTTGAAGTGCACGCGCATGGCCTCGCGGCAGTGACTGCAGGGGTTTAGGGTTTAGGGTTTAGGGTTTAGGGTTTAATTAGGGTTTAGGGTTTAGGGCTGCTGAAGGATAAGGGGTGGCCTCCGCCCTTCCCATTCCTGCGCACGGACACACGTGGGCCTCGTAGTAGGCCAGCACATCATTTCCGCTGATGGTGCATCTGAGCCGAGGGACACTGGGAGGCAGTGCTAGTAGGGACCCTAATTCCAACTACAGATAGACTTGCCTTCAGTGCCGAAAAACAACCCTAAAACCTCATTACTTACCTTCAAGGAAACAATCTCACCAAAGCATGGAGGCCCCGGGGCTCATCGGGACTCTCGAAGATGTTCACATCTCGGAAGGAGTCCAAAAGGGCTTGCTCCTTCAGCAGCCGAAATATTCGAGATATGCATCTGACATCATCTGGCACCCGTTAAAACTCGTAAACATGCAACCTCCAGCACGAACTCCGAACAGCCTGAGCCCTGGATTCCCAAGCCCCAAACCACGAACCCCTAAATCCTGTAACCCTGGGATTTCGTGGCGCACCGGGGGATGAGGGTCGGCACCTGGCAAGAAAATCTGGTACACCAATCTCGAGAAGCAGCAACGCCCCGTGCAGAAACCGCAAGTTTAGCCCTGCAGCTAGCTCACCCGTTCTTGAAAATAAGGAAGAATGGCATGTGTGTCTTTTAAACATATACAAATATATTTTCTCACATCCGTGTGTGTAAACAAATAAATAAATATACATAAATAAATAAATATATATATATATATATATGTATGTAATACTGAAATAGACGTGATTTGGGATAGTCACATGCAACCTACGGCTCCTGGCTGACGAGGCTGTCGCGGATCTTGTGGCAACTCTCAAACTCCTGGCGAGACGCAAGGTTAAGGCTTTAGGGTTTGGGGTTTAGGGTTATAGGGTTTAGGAGGACTTTCGAGCATCAGCTCGAGGAACCCCCTTATCCGTAGAAGCCCTAAACCCTAAACCCTGAACCCTAAACCCTGAACCCTGAACCCTAAACCCTAAACCCCTAAACCCCTAAACACTAAACCCAAAACCCTACAAGTTGGATGCCTGCTTCATCTCAGGGAGCCAGTTGCGGCACTTCTTGTGCGTTTCGCGGAGGGCATCGAAGTCACCGTCGAAACCTGGCAGCCCAGATTCCACCGGGTTTTGGGGTTTAGAGTTCAGGGTTTACTCTCGGATTGCGGCTGTGAAAATACAATTGCAGGTCTGGAGTGTGCAACAACTCATGCCGTCGTCGGCCGCCGCTACGTTTAAGCTTACTGGGGAAGAGGTGATTGCGATGGAGCACAGAATCCAAGCTGAATTCTCTCCTAACCTACGTCATATGTGTGTGTGTACAGGCAGCGCAGCCTTTCAACCACAAGAGGTCTCTCGCTGAAGCCCCTAAAGCCTAAACCCTAAACCCTAAACCCCAAACCCTAAACCCCAAACCCATAAACCCTAAACCCTACAGGCCCCCAAACTTCGATGCCCCCCTGCCTGGGGGCAGGAAGGTTGTGTTGCTGTCATAGACAGGGCAACCTGCTGCCACTTTGTCGTAAGCCTGAGTCACATTGCAGGTTTAGGGTTTTAGGGTTCCCTAAACCCTAAACCCTAAACCCCTAAACCCCTAAACCCTAAACCCCAAACCCTAAACCCTAGCACTACGAAGCGCACGGCCAATCAGACCGGCAAGCACCCACATCATGAACAACGGGACGCGCGTTTCTGCTCTAAAATCTGCTGGGTAGTTACATGGACATGGTCCCTGAATATGGGCCCTTCAGTGGGGACCTCTTATATACCTCTCATACACACTAGACAGGACAAGCGCCCATACTTCAGAACCTTTTAGAGGAGGTCATGGGCCATACTCAGGGACCATGTAACTGCCCTTGACTGCTGGCCATCTTCAAACAACTATGGACCGGACACTTTTGCAGGCAGCATCGGATGTCGCTGCCGCCTTGATCACGTTGTCCCTTAGTACCGTGGACGATTTAGGTGTTATAGGGTTTACTAAACCCTAAACCCTAAACCCTAAACCCTAAACCCTAAACCCTTAGGGTTTAGGGTTTAGGGTTTAGGGTCACGGTCGCGCCGGAGCCCAAATCAGCAAGCGGTGGCCCAAATTGGCTCCATAGCCATATTAAGATAGTGGTGCCCTTCTTGGTGCTCGCTCGCTCCGGGTTTGGCGGAACCGTTCTGCCGCAAACTGCGCGTTTCCAAAAAGGTTTGCTTCGGGGGCGCAAGTTCATGAGCACCAACACTTGGACTGAAAGGAACTTCTGAAATGGGATTTCCTAGCACGATATCTGTACTGCAGCTCATTCACATTACTTTTGAATGAGCAGCTCCTGAGACTTGGGGGTTACTGGAAGGTTCAAGGGGGTAGCTAGAAGTGGGGTTATACGTACCCTAAGTAGGGTTATAAGTACCCCAAGTAGGGTTATAAGTACCCTAAGTAGGGTCATAAGTATAGTTACCACACTTAGAACCCTACTTATACCTACCCGTGAACCTCCAAGTGCTGGAATCCTTCTGCCCAGCCGCACCATGCTCTTCAGCTCATCCTGGAGTTGCACCACAAAGTCGCTGATGTTCGCGTTGTCATCTTTGACGGCAGGGTCCTCTTTCATGTTGTCTTCAAGAGGCTCTACCCTAAACCCTAAACCCTGAACCCTAAACCCTAAACCCTAAACCCTAAACCCTAAACCCTAAGCCCTAAGCCCTAAACCCTAAACCCTAAACCCTAAACCAAACCCTAAATCCCACAGCAGATAGATACAGCCCTTGCCACTCTCTCGAGATGCAGGGGTGGCCTCAGCAGAGACCCGAAGCCGATACAACCCAGGAGCAATCTGGAGAGCCGGAGCACCAATAGCGCTTGAAACTGCTTAGGGTTTAGGGTTTAGGGTTTACGGTTTCGGGTTTAGGGCTTAGGGTTCCGAAAATAGGGGACGCCTAAAATAGACCCCCAAATAATAGGATCCTTTAGAATAAGGACCCCAATAAGGTACCCCTAATTTCGTAAGCCCCCATATAGGGGCCTTAAAGAATAGAAGTTTTTTTTTTTTTTTTTTTTGGGGGGGGGGGGGGGGGTGATTATAATACATTCATGAAAGGGGCCATAAAGGAATAACATTAGTTACGATTCCGACCCCTATATTACGCGGTCTGCCTTGTCTGGCGAAGGAATATGAACTTCCGCTTCCAGGCATCGTGCGCATCTAGGTGATTGGCTTGTATACATACAGGGACCTAGGCAAACGCCTTGCATGGGCAGACTGCTCGGTATCCCCGTACCCCCAGCCCTAAAAAAATGAACTCGTTCATAGCAAGGCTTAAGGAATTAGGTACTGTACCCTATACCCTAACTAAGTTCCCTGGATAAAACCTATAAGACATTCCATACTTGAAATCTGCTCCCAAGAACTGGTCACGAGGCCAAACACCGTACCGTGACGTGATAGGGTTTAGGGTTTAGGGTTTAGGGTTTAGGGTTTAGGGTTTAGGGTTTAGGGTTTAGGGTTTAGGGTTTAGGGTTTAGGGTTTAGGGTTTAGGGTTTAGGGTTTAGAGATTAGGGTTTAGGGTTGAGGGCATAGGGTTTAGGCGACAGGTGAACCACCTACTGCCCTCGATGACCCGCGTCGATACTTTCCAGAGAACCCAAGGCGCGAAACCCCTCAGTATGTACTTCGTACTTATTCCAGAGTACCCAAAGCCCAAAACCCCTAAGCACCCTAAACCCTAAACCCTAAACCCTAAACCCTAAACCCTACTAAACCCAGAACCAGATTCAAGAGCTAAGTCCTCTTGCGAGGCGAGCTTGGCAGCTTTGGCCTGCTGGGCGAGGAGCATCACCATGTCCTTGGCTTTCTCCAGCGCTTAGAGTTGAAGGATGTTCAGGGTTTAGGGTTTAGGGTTTAGGGCTTGAGTTTAGGGTTTAGGGCTTAGGGCTTAAGGGTCTGGGGGGCAGTGAGGGGTTTTCTACATCTGGGCTTTAGCTAATGCGGATGCTTGCTCTGGGGCGGGACCCTTTCGGTGCAGGGTCTTGTGACCTTAAATCGGGCTGCATGCCAGGGATTCTCTCCAGAGATGGCCCAGACACTTTCTTGGTGGAGAGTTTATGGCTTCGGGGTGTGCTGTAAGGCTCGGGCTTTCGTGGCATGCCATCGAAAGCAGTGCGACCCCTACTCCGGCAGAAACTAGGACGGCCCTCAATTAAGACCCTCTGAAAAAAATCGTCCTAGTTCTGGTCCTCTTACACACCAAGAAGGGAAAATATACAAATTTCCCAAGACTCCACCGAAAAAAACACGAGACTAACCGCAAAGCCAGGCAGTTCCACCCCCAGCACTTGAGCTAAGGCTCCTCCATCTGCGAAGTTTTCGCTCTCACCTCAGGATTGAGGGGAGCTTGAGGTTCTGAAGCCCCAAGCCCTAACCCCTAAACCGTAACCCTAGACCCCTAAACCTTATGAGCAACGAGCTCAACCGTTCTCTGCCTTGGGCCTGCCAAAAAAGCAGCGACTACAGCTGGGCTCATCAAGAAGCGCCATCTAAACCCTAAACCCTAAACCCCAAACCCTAAACCTCTCCGGCAAGGAAGTTTCGGATCAATGGCCTCGACAAGTCAGCGCCCCCCCCCCCCCCCAAATCTAAGGCTGTGAACCTGGGCCCTTAGTAGGGTCCCTCACCCTTGTTTCGAGGGATCCTTTAGGGTTTAGGGTTTAGGGTTTAGGGTTTAGGGTTTAGGGTTTAGGCGCCCTGTGTCGCCCCACAGAACCTTTCCAAGGAACTCTACATAACCCAGACCTCCACCCCCAAACCACAAACCCTAAAGCCCTAAACCAACGTCTAAAGCCTAAGCGCCTGAACCCCAAACCCTCTCCACAAACCCCAAACCCCCCAAAACTCACTGAATCCCAAACACCCAAAACCACAAACCCCCAAACCCCTAGAACCTTCCCCCCAAAACCCTAAACCCCCAAAACCCCTGAACCCCGAACCCTAAACCCTGAAATCCTAAACCCTAAGCCCCCAAACTATCACCCCCACTCCCCTAAACCCCTATACACCCCCAAAACCCCAAAACCCAAAAACCCACCCCGAAACCCTAAAACCCTAAAACCCTAAAACCCCAAAACCCCAAAACCCCAAAACCCCAAAACCCCAAAACCCCAAAACCCCAAAACCCCAAAACCCAAAAACCCAAAAACCCAAAAACCCCAAAACCCAAAAACCCTAAACCCTAAACCCCAAACCCTAAACCCCGCCCCAAAAAAACACCCCCCCCCCCCCCCCCCCCCCCCCCCCCCGCTCAAGGCCGGCAAAAAGGGGGCTCGGCTCCGAGCCGGGTTGGACTTGGGCTCCTTGGCCGTCGAGGCTTCCAAAAGCTTGAGGATGCCATCCTGGCCCGTGCTTTTGCGGTTTAGGGTTTAGGGTTTAGGGTTTAGGGTTTAGGGTTTAGGGTTTAGGGTTTCGGGTTTCGGGTTTCGGGTTTAGGGTTTAGGGTTTAGGGTTTAGGGTTTAGGGCTTCCAGAAGCTTGAGGACGCCATCCTGGCCGCGCGTCTCTTGTGTTTGTTTTGCGTTATTTCAGACACGTAGTTTATTGTTGTCGAATTGAAATACCGTTGAAACATCTATTTGTATACATTCTCACATATGTATGTGTATATATATATATATATATATACATGTTGTATTGTTCTTTCTTTTTGTTGGGGGGGGGGGGGGGGCGGGTTCAGGGTTGGTTAGGGTTTAGCGGGCTTAGGGTGGGGTGGGGGTTCAATTTAGTCATGCTTTTGTTTTTTGGGGGGGTGGGGGTGGGGGGGTGAGGGGGTGGGGTAGGGTTTCTTCCTGGACCCAAAAGAAGCGGTTTGGGGCTGAAGCTTGACCTTAGAGCTCTCTCCTGTAGCTTACCTACACGTGATAGGCCCCGAAATCCTCAAGCCGAAGTTTCCGGAAGCTCCCTAAACCCTAAACCCTAAACCCTAAACCCTAAACCCTAAACCCTAAACTCTAAACAGCCCACTATGGGTCCTGCTGGAGGGCCCCGGACTCCGCAGCCAACTTTGTGGCGAAGGCGGCAGTGGTCAGGACAGAAAGGATCAAAGCCAGTCTCGAGATCATAGCTACCTGGGTTTAGGGTTTGGGGGGGGTTTCGGGTTGAGGGGCTTATGGTCTGGGGGGTGTAGGGGTTATGGTTTTAAGGTTTGGGGGCTCAGAGTTTAAGGTTGAGGATTTTGGCGTGTAGACTTGAGGCTTCGAGGCAGAGGACGGTTGCTCCCGGCTTTAGGGAAACCTCTTGCGCGCGACAGCCTGTCCGAGCTGCTTTACGCTCCCTGCAACATGCGTGGTCGGGTATGGTAGCTGCAACCATCACGAAATCTAAAGATCGAGAAGGCTACAGTTCGTTCGTGTCAGATCAAACACGAACCATATGTATGTCTATATGTATGTACGCATGTATGTGCCTGACTAAATAAACGTCCTGGTTTATGTTTGACCCTGTGTAGGACAGATAAATATGAATGTGAGCGTTTGTTTAGATGAGAATTCATAAAAACATATACCTGGAGATGTAACAAGTGAACATGTATGATACGTACATGCGCACAGATGCACATAAACGTGACTGACTTCGCGCACATGAACCGGAGCAGGGCGCTGAGCGAAGAAACAACAATTCACAAGCAAGCATGTGTAGATCGATGTGCATATATATATATATATGTATATATAGAGGTGTATATACAGAGGTAGATGTCCAGATTGTGGCATTCATTGAAGTTAAGTTCCTCACCAGCAAAACAGTCTCGGCCGGGCAGCAAGGAGTTCGGGGGCTAGCGCAGAACCTGGATTGGCAGATGCACCGTCAATGGCCCTATGGCAACACAGACGTTTCTGACCCTGACTCCGAAGCCTAAGCATCAGCAGAAAACCCCCGTGATGACAAGCAGGACCTCGCAAACGAATCCGGAGAGTGTAGTACTATGTGCTGCTGGAGGCAGCTCGGGCTGGTTTGAGCGGTACTTGTGCACACTAATGCTGAGACAGCTTGGGGATGGCATGTAGCCGGCAGATCATGCCACTTCAACCAAATCATACGCAGGAGCGTCCCAAATCCACATTGTCTTACACGGCCTCTGCATGGTGTACCTCCTGACTCGCCTACATGCCGGCAAGGAGCTACAGCAATCAAACCTCAGCTGCAGTGGCCAGCCTAATCTGCATTGACTGATGGAGCCGAATATGGGCTGCGGCACGAGACATTACACGAGCCCACTGGCTTTCTTGCCGATCCCATGGCAAGAGCAAATGGAGTCCATCAAAAGCTGCTAGAGGAGAACGTGGCCAGCTATCACTGCAAGAGCAGGTGAAGGGCATCTATGCTGCAGGCTGGTGTCTCTGGCAGCATTCCAGCCAGTGCGTGGTGCTCATACACGACTTTGAACGACGAAAGTGCCTAAGCCGTACCTGTCGCATCCCCAGCCCTAAACCCTGCCCAGTGGCCCAAATAGCCCAAAGTAGGTACTTAAGGGTCTCATGCCCAAGGTATATAACTGTGTTGCATACTTTTCTAAGAGTTGGGCTCAACTGCACGTGGGGCTAGGCCCAAAGCCTGAAACCCCAAACCCTGAATCCCAAGCCCTGAACCCCAAACCCTGAACCCTGAACCCTGAACCCTGAACCCCAAACCCCAAACCCTAAACCCTGACCCTAAACCCCAAGCCCTAAACCCCAAACCCCAAACCCTCACGGGACTCCGACATGCTCTTGGAAGCACTGTTTGACCCGCTGGTCGACATCCTGGCGCGGAGGAGGGTTTGTGTTTCGGGTTTGGGGTTTGCAGGGTTTCGGGTTTGGGGTTTAGGGTTTGTAGGGTCTAGGGCTTCCGGGTTCCAAGCGTACCTAGAGGTGCCATTTGCTGGATCTGAGCTGAGGATGTGGTACCCAGTATGTACATTTTAGACAAAGCATAAAGAACACATGCATGCCCTACATACATATGTGTGTATATATGTATCATTTAGATGTACATATTTGTAATGTATACAAATGTAGCCGGAGTTTGGAAAAGGGGAGCTGGAGTTAGAGTAGGCCTGGATGCTGAGTTACAAAAAAAGTACCTCTCTGGGAAGCCTTTCTTGAGAAACCGTTGCGTACCTACAGGCCACTCTAAACCTTGCAGGAAAGCGTAGTTTCCGCCTGAAAGAATGCCCGGAAGACATTGTTGATGTTCTCGACCTTCTGCTGCAGGCGAGCGGCAAAGCACTCAACTCCCTACACCCGACACCCTAACCTTCAAATGCTAAATCCTAAACGGAATGAGGGCACCCAAAACTCTGAAGCCTAAATCCCAACTCTTAGCCCCGAATAGCCAAAATTCTTACATCCCTGAAACCCTACCTGTAAAACTCCCCAAACCCCAGAACCCTTGAGGATTTGGGGAATTTTTGTAGTTGTAGTATAAGATCATAGAGGACAATGAAATTAGAATTACCACAGGGTCATGAATGGAGGCTCCTGCAATACCTTGTTCAAAGCAGACTGGCGAAAGGATCAACGACGTAAGCTGCCGGATTCGGACTTTCTTCACGCACCAGACAGGCTTTGCCGGACACTTGAAGGCCCTCTTGGCCCAGTTTCACATCGCATTCTTTGCAATGCGGTCTCTCAGGTGCGTCTAGTGGACTTCGTCCAATGGCAAGCTTCAGGCATCTGACCGGTACCTCCTGACCACCCCCTGCTTCCGAAAACTTGAACTCTAAATAAATTCTATAAATGATCGCAATGCGCCAGCAGAAGCCTAAGAAGCACCACCCAAACCCCCACAGCCCGAAACCTTCGGCCACTGGGATCCCTTAGGGATCCCTGACTCGTGTTAGAGGCAGCTTTGTCCTTTTGTTAGGTCGCTGGCCCTCCCTTCAAAAGGAAAGGAAGGTTCTACAGAGTTGTTAGGTGGTTTTACAGGATGTTAAGGGTCTGTTGGGGCGTTTGGGGGCTGTAAAAGTGCGGAGTGGATATGTCTGGGGCTGGTAACTTGGCTTGGTCTCATCGAAAATCTCTACGGCATCTTCCTGGCGCAGCAGCGCTCACGCTGCGCCCCCTTCCAGGTTCAGCACGTGGTGCGCCAAGGCCCGAGCAGCAGTGCCCATTTCCTCACTGGCAAGGGAGGTCATATGAGAGCTTGCCTCGGCAGGCAAACCCTCCTGGAGTGTCAGGAGGTGTCGCGCCAAGGAGGCTGCCACCTCAGCCTCGGCCTCCTCCTCCACCTCCTCGGCCCTCCATGATCCAGCCTGGGGGCTGCAGGGTGGCGGTGCCGGAGGCTCGGATGGCTCTTTTGAGCCCTGGCTGGCATCGCCGGAGTGCCGGGGTTCACTTGGAAGAGGCTGACGCGCCAAGGCCTTGCTTACCACGGCAGTGTCCCGCTGCAGTTCAAGGAGGCGCTCAGCCAAAGCCGTCGCAGCCATGCTTGTCAAGTCAGCTTCTCCGGGTAACTCCGTTGATGCACCGCCAGCTTTCTGAGAGCTGGACGATCTCCGGCTGCTCTGTGCAGCAGGTGGCACTGAGAAGTTCACCACGTGACGTGCGAGAGCTATGGTGGCAGCCGCTATGTAGTCCTGGGTTCGAGTCGCATCACCATGCTCCTGCACATGGGGAGCTGAGCCAGCAGGGTCGCTCATGGGTCCATGTCCCAAAAGGGCCGCCTCGTCTTCTTTCTCGACCTCTGGCGCGACGAAGCTGCTGCCACCGCCACCACCGCCCTCCACGCCGCTGAGTTCCAAGTCTTCTCGGACTTCGGCACCGCCCGGGATGCAAACCGAACCTGCAGCTTCAAAGGACGTTGAGGCAAACTGCAATCAGTAAAGGGCGGGAATTCAAGGACCCGTAGAAACATCAGCAGGTCCTGGGGGAACATATCCTCCATAAACCCAACACCCTTTTCTCACGAGTTCCACGGAACCCACGACTGCCAAAATGCAGCCTCCAGAGCAGCCGCCGCCGTCACCCCGGTCTTCGCGCAGGGTGGAACCTTCTGGTAGCTGCTTTTGAGAAGCTACCTTCAGATAGAACCCCACCCCTACCCTTTCTGTACGCTGCGATCTTCAACCCCCTTGTCGGACTCCTAAGTAATAAGCTACGCAAGACTACTTCTGGGGCTGCTTCAGGTAGGATGTCGGTGTCGAGCATAGAAAAAAACCCATAAGCGCCCTGACTGGCCCACCTCTCTCCTCGGTTGCAATCTGCAGGACCTGCCGCGCCAGGGCTTTCGCCTCAGGTCGTCTTAAAACAGCAGAGCGATGTGAAACACTGGACCGGGTCAAGGGTGAAAGGTTGTGGGGGTTTTTCAAAGGCCACACTTCGAGCTGCCCTGGGCTCTTCAAGGAGCAGCGTCTAGCACATCTAGCACCAGCTGTCCGAACAGGCGGGACAAGCTACTGCAAGCAGCCGAAGAAACTGCTAGAGCCGATATTCGAGCAACTCGGGCAACCTTGGCCGGCTTGATTCGCAAGTGCTTAACTCTCACCGCCAAGTCACCGCAATCTGCACATCGGCTCCCAACTCACTGTCCCCAGCATGATCGGCGGGGAGCGAAAGAATGTGCCGGGCAAGTGCCTCACTGACGACTTCCTCAGCAAACGTAGCAAGGTTTGGTAATCTCATGAAATTGTCCTGCAGCTGTTTGGAGCTCCCCCCTTCGAAGGGCAAATGCAATGCCCAGGGATTTAGGGCCCCTGTAAGGCTGGACAGCCCTCCGCTCATCGGCTAACTTGCACAAGGCCGAGGTGTCAAACAAAACTGGCTTCCCTCCTTCCCCACCAAGAACCAGGGGGAAAACCCAACAAGGACGTCGAACAGCAATGGCAGCTACGAAGCCAATACTTGTGGCTAAATGCCTTCGAACAATTACGAAAGTGACAAGATTGCAACGGCAAATTCAAGAGTTGGGATGAAGATGAAAGTGATGATTTTAATTCGGTCTTAAGGGGACTTTTCTATTCCCTAAACTGTCCCTTCTCGGAGAGCCTGTTGGGTTGTATTTAGGGTCCTCCCAACCAAAAGGGGCCGGAAAGTCAAGAGAGTGCAAGCACTAACGCCCTAAACACTAAACCCCGAGCCCTACACTCTGAACCCTAAACCCTAAATCTAACGACCCCAAGTCTCGCTTCCGGGTCCCTCCGCGAGGTTCTCCTCCAAGAGGTGCCCAGCGAGTGCGGAGGCCACTTGGAAACGGTGCCTCAGAGCTGTCGTGACGGTCAGATGGCGGAGCGGGTTCCTAAACCCTAAACCCTATCAGCCCTATCAGCCCTATAAGCCCTGTAAGCCCTATAAGCCCTACAAATTATCTGTACTCTGTTAAGCTTGGGAATCCACAAAATCTTAAAAACCAGACAAAACTCAAATAAAACTCACTTCCGCGGAAATTCAAGCCACAAAGAAAACCAGAAAAAAATCAAAAACATCAGGTAAAATTCAGAAACAGTTCAAAAACTCAGAAGAATCGAAAACAGCCAAAACCCCCAGAAAAAGCACCAAGAAATGCAGCCAAGCACCTCAGAGGCAAATGTAAGAGCAAAACCCGCGATTGATTTTTTGCTGAAAATTATTTGCGGAATCTGGCCCGGGGCCGAATCTGAAAAAAATCTGAAAAACAACTGAACATTTATTATTTCAGCAAAACCCAGTCTTATCAGGGACAGACTATCTTAACCCTCTAAGCAGCCCTGTGTCCATCAACCCTGACCCGCTGGGAACGTCGGACGGCTCTCTTGGGCGCTTTTGGGAGCCTGTCTTGGGGGTTTTAGGCTCAACCCTTGTGCATGGAGCCCCTGTCAACTTAACATACAGCCCCCTGTGTTAGGGCTTAGGGTTTAGGGTTCAGGGGTTATACTTAAGGTACCGAAAACAGAACGAATTTACAGAACTGGCCCTCTAGGATTCCGTCTCACTTCCTTAGGCCTGGCTGCTCCTCGAGCAGGCGAACGTGCTGGGACAGGGCCTCCGTCACAACTGATGCGTCGGCACTGGCGTGGGCCTGCGGCGTTCGTGGCTCGTAACTTTGGTGTTTTCAGGTTTGGGGCTTTGGGCTTTCGTGGTTTAGGGTCTGCAGAGGACTCGACAGACAGCTGAAGCCCCAAGATAACTATGGCAGGGAAGATCGCTTCTACACAGGATCCATGCTGGTGTAAAGGGGGCGTAGGCTTCAGAGGGTAAGCTCTGCAGACGTTCTGATTTGGGGTAGAGAACTTCGGGGTACCACAAGCCCCCCCCCCCCCCTAAACACTAAAAACCTAAAACACGAAAAACCTAAAACCCTAAAACCCTAAAACCCTAAAACCCTAAAACCCTAAAACCCTAAAACCCTAAAACCCTAAAACCCTAAAACCCTAAAACCCTAAAACCCTGAAGTCTAATACCCTAAAACCCTAAAACCCTGAAACTCTAAACCCTAAAACCCTAAACCCTAAAACCCAAAAACCCAAAAACCCAAAAACCCTAAACCCTAAACCCTAAACCCTAAACCCTTCATAAGGCCACCCGGAGCCTGAACCCCTCCCCAAACCCTCCCAAAGCACGCCTCCGGGATGGCCCTCTGCAGGTGAAGGTGTAGATTCAGTGCCTTGTGCCGCTTGCTGAGGGTTTAGGGTTTAGGGTTTAGGGTTCAGGGTTTAGGGTTTAGGGTTCAGGGTTTAGGGTTTAGGGTTTAGGGTTTAGGGTTCTGCGTTTTGCTGGGTGTAGAGTGCGGACTACCAGGAGTTGAGGTTTGGGGGCTTGGGGTTTTGCAGGGCTTTAAATGGGTGAGTGCACCTATCTCGGAATTAAAGACCACGTTGCTTCGGTCTTTAAGTACCCCGACGCCCGAAACCCCGAAACCCCCAAACGCTCCAAACGCCTTAGGGCACCCTAACTCGCGATGCGGATCCATTTCTTGCTTGAGAACCCCCGCCTTTCAAAAGCAGTAATAATATATAATATTCCTCCTTAAAAGGGCCACGTAGGTGTGATTGCCTTTTGTTTTTTTGGGGGTTCTTAAGCAAAATACTAGGAGTCTCAGGCAGCTGCGGCCGCGACAGTGTCCGAGTTCTTCGCCACCGTTTCCGCCTGCCGTCCCACACCCTCAACACTTGGCAGCCCAGCAACCATGTTATAACAAAGGGCACCCTCTTTAGAGGTTGTTTACGTTATAAGGGAACCTTGAACCAAAGAAAGGGGCAAAAGGGAACCACCACGAGTCTAGGTCTTAGGGACTTAGGGGCTTCGGGGCTTTAGCGTGTGGGGGTAGGGGCTTGGGGGGCCCAGGGCTCTGGATTCAAACTTAGAGTTCTGGGACGATCCTGCAGCAGGATCTTCGGGGGGGGGGGAGGGGGGGAGTTGCAAGGCGAGGCTTACCAACCCTCAGCGAAATTTAGGGTTTAGGGAGAGATGTGTCAGACTTTGAGATTCAGGGATGATAGCCTTGGTTCTTGGTGTGGGGGTTTTCGGGCTTCGGGTCTTTCAAGGCTCGTGGGAGCCTCCACGTGGCAAGCGTGGGCATTCAGGGCATTCGACACCACATCCGTGTGCTTGGCGTCGCCTCAGCCATCCCCACACTGCCTGCCCTACACTTTCCGTGCCGTCATCATCAGTCTACTGGTTTAGTGCACATATAGGGACCAGGGCTTACTACTAGTATTTATTCCGACCCCTATATTACCTGATACAAGCCGAGCCTCCAAAACCCCAATCAGCGCCCCTTCCCTGAACCCTACAGACCCTGACAGAGACCCCACAAAACCTGAACTCTAAGGAAGCAAAGCGGCGCCGTGTTGCAAACTCCTCGAGGAAGCGATCCAATCGATCCCGATGGCAGTTGGTCGCCTCCGAGTTGGCTGTTGGGGTGTAGGATTGTATTGGGGTTTCCGGAATAGGGGTACCTTTTTTGGTGTCCTTATTCCAAGGAATCCTACTATTTGGGGGGGGGGGGGGGTCGTAGGTGTCCTTATTGTCGCAAACCCCCGCTAGAGGATTGGGAAGGAAGCCAAGGATTTAGGGCTGTAGAGTTGGGATGTTCCCCCTTTTTTATAGGGATTATAATAGGGGGGGGGGGGGGGGTACTCTATCATCCCCTATTAAGGACCCTTCGTCCCAAGTGTAGAGTTTTAAGAGCTCAGTTGTACCGAGCCTGGTACCAGGGCCACGCCCCAGAGTCAAGGCGTCGGAACCATTACTAATGGTATCCCCTTATGGTCCCTATGTAGTTCTACCTCTCCCCCCCCCCCAAAAAAAAAAGCTATTCTAATTGTTAAGGCCCCTCCACTCATTATACAGGATTCGCCGCGGCAACTCTGCGAATCGAGTTGCAAACTTCTGATTCTCAACTGTCGACACTGTGGGCAAGCTAAAGGTGCAAAGTCAAGGGACGACTAAGGGAGGGACCCTTATAAGGGACCTTAGAGGAAATGCAGGGGGGGCTACGGAGGTATGTAGGGACCAAAAAAGGTACATGAAACAGGGGCGAAAAAGGGGAATGAGATTCCCTTCGCAATAGCCCGTTCAAGGCTGAGAAGCTGCACGATAGACTTGTACATGTGTCTGGAGAGACAAACAGCTATCATGACTTCTGATTCGCGCCATTCCATAGATCCCTAGGTTGGCCCCTTGAAGCAAAGCCCTCTTAAACCACAAACATCATAAGGGCCCTGGGCCTCTTAACCTATGGACTATCTCTCCAAGGCGACGTGGCCACTCCCTCCCATCAGCACGAGAACAGCCCCACAACTGCAGGTCTCAAGGCAGGAAAAGGCCGCATTCAAAAACTCACAATCGTTGGCTTTGGGGCATCCGACCTGAGCCAAGCTGATCTTCGAGACTTCCTGGGGTGCGAAGGACTGCTCTGAACATGGTAGACTAGGCTGGCCCCTGAAAAACCCTGTGCAAAGGAGTCCTAAATAAGATCCTCTTAAACCCAATAATGCCAAAGACAGAATATCCAAGGTCCTACCAGCACCCAGTAGAGACTGTAGGGAAGGACAAGCATGTGCGGCCTGACATGGAGATTCAGTGGCAATGCAAGGCTCAGGAAGCTTGCCGCAGATTGTTACTTGATCGGCAAACAAAGCATGGCTACTCGACCAAGCCTCGGAGCGCGTTCAATCTTAACCTTGGAACCTCGAAACCTAAACCCTGAACCCTAAACCCTAAACCCTGATCCCTAAACCCTAAACCCTATAACCCTAAACCCTGGGTGCAGGCGTTAAGGAGTAATATCCCAAAGGGTTCAGTATCAGCCTTCATCGCCTTCATCTTCATCTGGCACTTAGGTTTCCCCCACAACCCTCTACAGTGTTGTTTGTGGGCACGTGATATTCCAGCCGCACGAATCCTAAACCCTAAACCCTAAACCCTAAACCCTAAACCCTAAACCCTAAACCCTAAACCCTAAACCCTAAACCCTAAACCCTAAACCCTGCCCAGCTGCCGAGGTGAAGTCTACCCCGGCATCCTCAAGGACCCGGAGGATGCCAAAGCGGTTGGAGTCCGCGGCCGCAAGCAGCGCAACCTGCCTGAGGGATAGGTCTTGCTGCAGGATTTACAGGGTGTTATAGGGTTTCTATAGGGCTTTATAGCACGTTTCGTAGGTTTATAGCGTTTTGTAGGGTTTATAGATCGTTTAGGGGTTTAGAGGGTTTCTAGAGTTTATGGGGCTTCATGGGGTTTTTTGGTTCAGAAAGTTGATGCAAGCAACAGGCACGGAACCGGACAGACCCCACAAGGCCCCTTGAAGCCCCTACAAAACCCTATACTTGTAAACCCCGTAATTCAGACCCAATAGCCCGTACAAAGCCCTGTCAAGCCTAGAAAATCTCCAAACCCTAGAAAAACCCTACTATAACCCTGTAGAACCTCTGTAACGCAGGGGGCTTCCCAGGTTCATCAGCCCTGAACACCCCACTGCTGCACCAGGCCACCCTGACCAACCCGACACATCAGCCCGGGCGAGGATGAGGAAGTGAAGGGCCTGGCGGGAAGCAAGGCATTAGGCTTGACGGCTTCGCTGCGAGCCTGGGGTTTAGGGTGAGCTCGCCTTCTGGGGCTGAAGCCAAATGCCCCAAAGCCTCTCTAAGCCCCATCAACCCCAGACCACTTAAAATAGTGGTACGGATATTATGTATGCGAATCCAAACGAAAAATCTACTAACCCCCTATCATCCCCCGAAAACAGGGGCCTCCCAGCTACGGCAGCGGGCCGCGCTTTCCAGTGATTTGCCTGCCCATTTGCAGGGGGTTCCGAAAGTCTGGGTACCTTATTTGGGGTCCTTGTTATAAGGGAATCCTGCTATTTGGGGGTCGATTTTAGGGGGCCCCTATTTTCGTAAACTCCCAATGTGAGTGTTTGGTGTGCCAGTTGCATTTGAAGGCTTTTTCCTTGAAGCAGCATTCCTTCACCCCGCTGCGCACCCGCTGCGAGGATGTCTTGACAGCAGATGGTCTTAGACGTTTGCAGAAGCAAGCATAAGGAATGACGAGGCCACCCTTCACTGCTTTCAAATCCGGAGGGGAAGAAGTTGCAGTGAACGCCCTAAACCCTAAACCCTAAACCCTAAACCCAAAGCCCAAAACCCAAAACCCAAAACCCTAAACCCTAAACCCTGGAAGGCCAAGGGGCAAAAATTGGCGTAGGCTTGCAAGCAAGGTGCTCGGAGCCAGCCCCCGTGCGAAGTCCACTTCCTGCTAACTGCAATGTAGGGGGGGGGGGGGGGGGGGGGGTATACTTATATGAACGGGGGGGGGGGGGTTTTTGGGGGGGGTTATTTTGGTAGACTTATGCAGAACAAGGGGTTTGGGTGGGTGGGGGGGGGGGGGGGGGGGTAATTATGGTACACTTTTGTAGAATAGGGTTTAGGGGGCTTAGAAGGGCATGCTTACATAGGGATTAATTATAAGGGAATATTATGCCGACCCCTGTAGTAGGCTAGGAACGGCTGCCCTGATGTATTTAACTGGTGTAGCCATTTCAAGTGCAAAGGGAGATGCCAGTAAACTGAGCCAAGGCCGGGTCCTTCTCCAGAAGGAACTGCAGCAAGTGGACGTCGTTTCGGCCGGCCTCACTGCAGCCCTGCATCCCAGGTCTTCGACTCTTCACACTTGAACCCTAGACCCCGACCTCCCCACAAAAATTCAGAAAGCCTGGACTCCTTCTGGGGCGGTTGAACTGTAGGGCTCGAGGGCTTCGGGCAACTTCCCCAATATAGGGATACCCAAATATAATTGAAAGGGTGCCCCTCTTCATTTTTTCAGAAACCCCATTTAGGGTGCTTTGGGGTGTTGGGTTGTAATCCTCAGGGAGGGTGTAAGGCCTCTGCTTGTCCGTGGGCTTTTGAGCCTCAATGGTTAGTTGTGGGTACCGCGCAGCCTATACCTCTACAAAGCAAAACAACACCAGAAAGAAGCTCGAATTGCGATCCACAGCCACGGCCGTCTCCATCACCGCATCTCCAACATCTCTGGTGACGTCCACCCCACTCAAGACCAGGAATCGCATTACCTGGCGCTAGATTTGAATTACAAGGGAGTCCAGGCTTAACCCTGAACCAAACGGATGTTAACAGGTGTTGCAGCTCGCATAGAAGAAAGAGACTCAACAGGTGATCCAACCACCGGGGCTACAGCGAAGCCTCCGTACGCATTCCAGTCGATAAGAAGGCGGGAGGGTTCCGGCTTTGATACATTGCAGCGATCAAAGAAGCTTCGGCTTTTTCACAAACTAGCAGTCCAGTGGCATCAGTGTGTTCCTTGGCGGCAGCGGCCAAAAGCGATTGTCGCCCCGCCTCATTGGGTGGCGTATGTTGCTTACCGTAACTTCGACCACTGACAGAGCTTAACCAAAACCTAGATTCAGCACTGGCCATGTAGGTGACATCTCCCTAAGTACATCCGAAAAATCCTAAACCCTAAACTCGTTGAGGGTACACACCGGTGATGTGGGCCAAAGTCAGCTCATGAGGCCGTGTGGCCCAGGACCCGAGGTCTGCAGAGCTTCGCACCTGGTCTTCATCCAGACGACCAGGAAAACACTCCGGTACATCTTGCGAGGGGGGAGGGGGAAGAGGAGATCCCAGTTGCGACCTCCAAAACCCTGAACTGTACGAACACGGGCGCTCCGAAATGTGAGAGAAAAGCCCCAGAAGCTATGCCTGTGCCCAGATTGGTGATGCCAAGCCTTGAATCTGATCAAGCAAGGGCTTTTGGGGCTTCTTGGGTCCAGAACGCGCCGGGGCCCGAACCAGGTGTTCCACCACATCCAAATACCCGTGTGTGGCCGCTTCCACCATGGCCTCTCCAGCACAGGGGCGTTTAGGTCCTACTGGGTTACGCTTTAAACCTGTGAAAATTATTATGAAAAGGTTCCCTGGTAAGGAAAGGAAGGAAATTAAAAGTTATCCCAAAGCACAACCCAGTCTAGGTCTTTCTTGCATGAACCCCCCATTGCCTTGGTATCAATTTTACCTAAAGGCCGGGACTTGAGCAGCCACATCCGGAATTCTACTGGACTTCGGCCTCAAAACCCTGAACTCCCTGGGTTTAAGGCGAAGTTTTGTGGCTTTGTGCTATTTTGTGCTGACCCATGAGGTCGATGGCTGCCATGGAGCCTTCTTGCCACCCCAGGAGGACAGGTCCAAGCCATGCTCCAGGAATTTTGCGACAGACTCCTCTTTCTTCAAGCGTGGCATTGGAGGGTTTAGGCGAAGGCTCTATGCCATGCCTAAGCTCTTTGGTTTCATTACTGAGTTCTTTCATCAAGAACTGTCATGTTGCAGGGTATTCGTAGTCTGTGTGCGCACGGCAACGCATGGCAAAACACACGTGTTGAGGTCCAGTGCTTTCCTGCGCATGCTGATTGATCAGTGCGAGTACAGGGTACAGAACGTCACTCAAAATCGAGCTGACTGACTCCATCCCGGTCCACGCGGTTCGCACCAGCTGCCAGGACGAAAGAGCGGAGAGCCGCGTCGGAAGAGAGATCGGCACCTGAGAAATGGCTCCCTAAACCTTATAAGCTCAAATTCCGCCAGTGCAACTAGACCCCAAACAGAGGAGACCCTAGGGGGGGGGGGAAAAGGGGGGGGGAGGGGGAGGGGGGGGAGCGGGGAGGGGGAGGGGGGAGGGGAGGGGGGTCTGGGTAGGGTTTCGGACTGCTCTGCAACCAGGCCCCGGGATTAACCGTTCTGCCCTAAACCCCAAACCCTAAATCCGAAACCCCAAACCGTAAAGCCTAAACCCTAAACCCTGTTTCGGTTTGTTCGGTTTAGGATTTAGGGTTTACCCTGAGACCGTCCTGCCTATCTACCCATAAGTACACAAGACAGTGCACGCCCCAAGCTCTCCTGTATGCAAACCTCAACAATGTCCTGCAAGCCCAAATTCCTCAATTCTAATTTGACTCTGTCGAATTTAGAGTTTAGGGTTTAAGGTTCACGGTTAAGGCTTAAACCGTTATGCCCATGTACCCTAAACCATACATCACACACTGCAAGCCCGAAGCTACAACACTGAAGTAAACTGAACTTGCAAATTCGCTATTAATACCAACATTTCCATACAAGCGGACAGCCTTGAATCCTTGCTTGTCTACTCGTCCAGAAACGTGTAACCTAAGGGCTTTCAAAAATAAACGTCTCACAAAACATGTCTTAACATGCAAATTAGCTGTAAATACCAGTATTTCCGGAAAAAAAGAAAAAAAAAAAAAAAAAAAAAAAAAAAAAAAAAAAAAAAAAAAAAAAAAAAAAAAAAAAAGAAAAAAAAAAAAAACAAAAAAAAAACGACTTCGGAAAAGAAATCGTGGACGCACGAAAACACCGCTACTTACAGCGAGTTCGGCCGAAATTATCAAAACCCTCGGGAAAAACCGGGGTTTTCGGACATGTGCTACTGAGCAACCACGCACGGAAACATCGACAAAAACCGAGGTTTTACACTTCAACCCCCTCAACACAATGTGTTTTTTTGGCGGGGTCGTTAACCGCGCCGTAACCTAGTTTTGGGCAATACTCATCCCAAGCAATGTTGAAGGCACAGAAGCGTAATACATGCGCGGGCCTCTCTCCACCAGAAGTTGCACAGCCTGACCAGAGACTAAAAGTAATGCGGAAAACGACTCAAAAGTCGTCCCGGCGTTTTTCGGGTAAGGGCTTTCAAGCACTCCCTCAGAAAGCCCAAGACCCCTTAACTCAGGAATACACCTTAAACTACAGTACAGAGGTTCGTTATTACACTACACGGGATTTCTTAAGTAAACTACACAAGGACTCTTAACTCAACTACACAGGGGTTCCCTTACAAGGTATGTACATAATATGTATCTGGTCAGTTCTCAAAAATATGGTCCCTTATCAACTTATATGAATATATGTATAGAGGGACATAGGGCAGCCTCATTCCCTCATGCCCTACTAGGAACCAGTACGACCACTGGCAGGCCTCCCAGTTTCCCCTCTGCGCCGCCAGAAGCAGCGCACGGGACCCACAAGTTGACGATAGGTCCTGGGCTCAGGGTTTCTAGGTTTTAGGGCTTGGGGTTTCAGGGTTTTGAGGGTTGAGGGTTTTGAGGGTTGAGGGCCTCAGGGTTTTTAGGGTTTAGGGTCTGGGGTCTTCGGGTTTAGTGCTTTTGGGGTGCAGGGTTTAGGCTCTATTGTTCTAGAGCCCAAAATGCTACGTGAGGCCCGATGGTTTCGGGCTTGAGGGGCGCAGGAAGGCATTGAAGATTAAGGAGGGGCCTTTGGCAGGATGGACTGGATGTTCGGCTGAAGGCTTTGGTTCCCTAAGCCCTAAGCCCTAAGCCCTATAAGCCCTAAGCCCTTAGCCTTAAGCCCTTAGCCCTAAGCCCTTAGCCCTATAAGCCCTTAGCCCTATAAGCCCTCAGCCCTAAGCCCCAAGCCCTAATTCAATCCCAGCAGCACACCCACCATCTACGATGATTCGGACCGGCTCCCACCTCGGTGACAAGCATGTGAGACTGAGACCATGTGGGTGTGTTGTTCTCTTTGTTGGCGGACCGGAAGTTTAAGTCATTTCAGACTCAACCCAGTAAGGTGGCACGAGGGCGACGACTGGCCGATATCGGGACTTCAAATCGAAACTTCAACGATGCAGGTAACGAGCCGCAGACCTCACACGCAACCAGCCCCAACTCCGAATCCTCTAGTACCCAGACATGTGCGCCCAAGCACCGGTCGCGGCTGGCAGACAGCAGGAGCATCTGGCTGTGGGACATGTGCCACCACTGCTACCAACCCCCCAAATTAAGGCTATTTAGGGAGAATTAAGCCTAATTAAGACTATTTAAGGGGGAACCTAGGGGGGGGGGGGTGTAGTACAGGGGGGCAGTAGGAGAACGCATGAACAGAGGGTTGCGGCCCATGGGCAGGGCTGATGCCTAGTGGCAGCTCCACAACTTAGAAGTTCTCCTCACCTTGGAAAACAAGCCCGAGCCGACTCTCTGAACGGGCTCAAAGCAAGAAAGAGTGCAAGATTGGGTGTTAGGGTTTAGGGTTTAGGGTTTAGGGTTTAGGGTTTAGGGAAACGCCCTAGGACATCCTTTAAAACAAACTCTGCCGGCACATTTTGGGTCAGATGGCGCCTGCTCGGCCGCCTTCGAGTCCATGTGGAGGCCATGCTGCAGGAGCCGCTTCACCTTGCGGTAACTTCAGCGAGGTCTCTCGGCCTGCCCCTCCATCCACTTCATCTACTTTCATGCCCACGAGATGTCGCCTGTAACCTTGAGCAACCGTACTGGAATTGCTGGAGAAGGGGGAAAGTGAAAACTGTGCAACTAGAAGCACACAAAGACGAATGATGGGGAAATAGGGAAGCCTGCGTTCTTTCGGTACATTTGCAGGGCGGACGGTACAGTGTCGCTATGCGGAATCGGTCAAACCTGATTTGTAGGGTCCTTCAATGGCGAAGGAGCCTAGGGAACCGAAGGGACGCTTCATTCGGGAGCATTAGGCTGCGGTCACTTAACCCCCTTGGACACCCCCTCCCGTTAAGATCTTGTCAGCTGAAACCGAACATCCGCAGAAGCCATCAGAAGCCTGTAATGGGAGCAGGGGCGGGTTGCCCTGAAGCGTAAGGAGCATAGTACAACAACGAAGCAGGAAAAAGGGCTTAACTTAGGCCAAGCCAACTAGTGTACCATGTCCGAAACCCAAACGTCACCATTGGTGGCAGCCCTGGCGCCCAGCCCTTGGGCAGCTTTGTGGTACCCTAGCAGGGCTCCGCAATGACTCCGTCCTGTTGTGACCAGCATCCGGAAGTGAATGTGCTTCGAACCCTCCAACGCCGCACCAAGAGTCTGATTTCGAGTCGTTGTGGATGGCGGCGTGGTAGAGCTCCTTCTCATCGGGCACTGACCTGGTGCTGACTAATCATCTGCTCGTTAGGTTCCGAAGTGCGCACACAGTACACATGGCAAGAACACGAGGGGGTCGGAATAGCCGTGAGCCGCCGACTCTGCGCTCAAAGACTTGAGGTGGCAAGCACAGAGCGGATGTCATGACACTCAGACGTAAACCTAAACCCTCTAGGTTCGGGTTTAGGGGCTTAGGGTTTGGGATGCAGATTGCTTCCCAAGAGGCCAGTGATCCGCGGCGGCAGGAGGCCCCATGGTTCGGAGCAAGAAGACGCTAGGCAGCAGTGTGAGATGGCACTATCGCTACAATGTGCAGCCCTGCTGAGCGCAGTAGATTCTGGAGTCGAGATGACCCGAACAATCTCATACTCTTGTCTGTGGGCCCAGAGAGATCGTATCAAACACATGCCGGCGATTTTGATCTCTTCTTTCTGCCCCCTTTTGTTGTTACGATTTCTCTTGGCCTTGTGCTTATGACCATTCTCCTTGTGGTTCTTACTACGAGTCGTGGCTGAAGCAAGGGGGAACAGGAACAGCTTGAAAATGTGGGCAGCAATTCAGTACTTTGCAACACGTTACCTTGATAAGTAACAGTCTGAATCATGATGGCACTGAGAATGTAATAAGCATAGCAACAAGTAGTAAAGGTATAAGGTGACTGCGATGGTGTCCTGAAAATTGCTCTAGGTTTAGAGGCAAGGACCAGCGAGGCTCGATCTAGTGCATTCACTGTAAGGCATCAGCATCAATGGTGGCCGACGTACCCTCCAAGTAGTGGAGGGCCGAGCAGAACGACCTCAACAGTCAGTCCATCACCAGGTTGAAGCTTGTCCCTTATGAGCTCCCGGTGTGTTCTGACGCAAGATACCATGCCCAAGCCAAGCTGGTTCGGTTGCTATGAATATCAGAGGATTTCGGCACCACCAGCCGCTGTCCCGGGCACCTGGCTTAAGCTAAATCTTCCGAACCTGCCAGGAGCAGGTACTGTAGGTGTCGCAGAGTAGGACAAGTCGGAGATGTCGGGTGCCCGGCGTGACAAGCTGGGAGAGCTCCAGCATAACTCGCTCCACGGAGTGGGGAAGCATTTTCACGTAGGCCTGGGCCGCGGGCTCGGCTGGGGGTCCCCTCTTTCGTACTTTTCCCTGTGGCTTCTTCACAAGGCCACGTAAGCATGATCCACCAACACACAAACCACGCCCTAAACCCGCAAGCCACATTGGCGTGGGTTTTGGCGATTGAGGTTTAAATGCTTGGGGTTAGGCTTGGGGTTCGGGGGTGTAGCAGGGGTCCAGGTTTAGGGACTTAGGAGGCATGTAATTTAAGGTGCAAGGCTTAGGGTTTCAAGGGCGCCCAAGACCCCGGCCAGGGGCACATTTAAGGATTGGGCTGAGGGAAAGGTTTAGGGTTGTGGGTTTAGGGTTCAAAGGTCTAAGGGTTTTAGGATTTAGGGCAAGTTTGAGGGTGTTGCGGTAAGTGCCAGCATCCCAGATTGAGACGGGGGCCGTCTTCAGCACACTAGTGGCCAGGGGACCAGTCACCTGCGGTGCTGCAAGGCGGCTAGTTCTTCCAGAGTTTTACGCAGTGCAAACTTGTTATAGAATTGAGGGTTGTCCATTGAGGTTCAGTCTTTCTGAGGGCCTATGTACGTCATCCTAAATCCTCAGCCTTGAAAAAAGCCCAATGGGTTTCAGGGTTTAGGGGGGCTCAGGGTGCCGAGGTCAGGGGCTTAGGATGGCTGGGTTGCAGACTTCCATCCCAGCAGAACCAAACACTGACAAATCCGGCAAAGTCGCGCGAATAAGGAGGGCGATAAGGTAAACCTCACCTCCATCCTACACACCCCCCCCGGTAGAAGGGAAAGTTCATCGTATTCCCCTAAATAGCCCTATACAATCCCTAGATGGTCCCTAGAAATACCTAAGTAGCCCCCAGATACCCCCGAAATGACCCCCAAGGTCCCTTGCAAGGGTCCCTCCTCTAGTCCCTTGATGGAATCAGCCCAGGTCCTCAGCAACACTAACCTAGGATGGCCCAAAAAAAAAACCTCTGAGAGACATTCCCAAATATGCTCCCCTTAAACCCAATAAGGGGAAATATGAAATGTCCCAAAATATCCCAAAAACCTACCTACTCACGGCGGCGGAAGGGGGGGGGGGGGGGGCGGGGGGGGGGGGCGGGGGGGGGAGGGGGGGGGCGGGGGGCGGGGGGGGGGGGGGGGGGGGGGGGGGGGGGGGGGGGTGGGGGGGCGGAGGGGGGAAGCGAAGGGCCGAGGCCTGGCCCATCAGCTGCAGCTCGCGCATGGACTGGCGCCTTTTAGGCTTACAGGGTTTTGGCAGGGTTTGTTGAAAGGCTTTTTTAGGGTGTTGAAGGGCTTTTTGTGAGGGTTTATGGGGTTGGCAGGGTTTTGGTAGGGTTTTTTTAGGGAGGCTTTCTAGGGTTCTTAAGGGCTTTTTTAAAGGGTTCATGGGGTTTACAGGGCATATAGGGTTTTTAGGGTTTGTAGGGGGTCAAGGGTTTCTAGAAACTAGGTTTTGTAGGGTTTCTAGGGTTTAGGGGTTCAGGGTCAGACAGAGGCTTTGGGCTAAAGGATTAGTGATCTGAGACTTTTCTTTTTGGGGGGGGGGGGGAAGGTTTTGGGTATCCCGAATCAGAATTTTTGGGTGCAGGGTTTTTGGCTTGAGGGCCTTGCGAGTCTTGTGTGAACCTGCAAGTCTAGTGCGGCACATGGTGAGAGAATCCATCTACTCAGAGATGCAAGGCTAATTCACCAGACCGATTGTTTGCTCTACTATACATGCATACATACATACATACGTACGTACATACGTACATACATACATACCTACATACATACATACATACATACATACATACATGCACAGATACACATAGCTATATCGAGACATTAGTATACAGCTTGCACGGTCTTCAAGCCTCGCACCGAAAGCATCACCGCCTCCCTTGGTCTGCCCCCCCCCCCCCCCACCCCCCACAACCCCCCCTCCTATTCCACCCTCTTTCCCCCTACCCCCTCCCCCACCCCCCCTCCCCTAACCCCCCCTACCCCCCTCCCCCTACCCCTCCTACCTCCCCTACCTACCCCCCTACCCCCCCCCCCCCCCCATTCCTATTCCCCCGTTTCCCCCCCCCTATTCTTCGAGGAGTCCGAGGGCGGCTCCATTTCGTCTGATCCATGTCTTGGGCCTGCAAGAAGGCACTTCCTACAACAAGCGGTCTCTCAACCACCGGCGACCTTTCCGGAATAGGATCAGCGGGACCGATTCTCTGGGAACATTACAGCCAATGAATTCGGTGCTGATCCAGGATGACACTAGGACTAGGCCCCTCGCGCATTCATGCATAAGCGTGAATCCTTACGATGCAGACCTTATCAATCTGGGTACACCCTCTCTAAGACGATCTAAGACGTGTGCATGCATGCAGCTCCACCGAGCTGGGGCGGGAAGGCCATGCTTAGCCCCGCTCGAAGATTGCCATTTAACTCAGTGCCGGCGAACATTGCGGTCCGCGCCAGGAGCTTTCAAGTACGCCTCAGCCCCAGTGGATGCTCATGATTCTCACCTCCCGCCTCGTCACATCTGAACCTGCGTCTGGAGCCTAGGGGCCCCGGAAGAGTGCCCAACTGATGCTCATGCTGCTCACCACCTCGTCAAATCTGATACTCGGCTGTCTGGAAGATTCTGGAAGTAGCATATGGTGTTCTATGGTTTTTGCAGATGCATCTCGGCGGAGCAGTAACAATTTCATGCTGCGTCTTCAGAGCATTCGGCTGTGCAGCAAACCACGGCAACGGCAGGATGAAATGAATGGCTCATGGCGGCCGTGACGCTGGGGCCTAAAGGCTGGTCGCCGGCCAATGATCGGAAACAACGATCCCCTTATGGCCTCTTCCTTCAAAAGGGCTAGGATTGGCGACGGTTTTTTGTGGGGACCTCGGATTTCAAAGTTTTCGCGCCCTGTCCTCATATGCATGTGGAGGACGCGGGAGGGGGCGACCAGGAGCACAGAAAGAGCCGTCAGGAAGACATCCCAAAAGAACCCTCCGGGGCCGAAAAAAAGCAGCCTACCTCAAATGGCAATTTTCAAAAGCCAGCTTCCAGATTAATCCATGTGAGCTAAGGCAAGTGTGACGTGGGAAGTCTTCCATCACTTGGAACTCAACCTTGAAGCCGCTGTTTTCTGATACCCAGAAGAAACTGCTCGGACTTCTACAACAACCATCCAGACGCAAGCAAATGTACATTCACGGCCCACCCTAGCGCAGTCCCTGCACAGGCGCCTTGGTCATCCATTGGACGCCGAAGATCAAGGAACAAAGCTGAGCAAACCTGGGCCACAGTCTTGCCACGCAGCTTGCTCTCTAATATTCTCTGATTTCAGCACTCTGCCATGAGTATGGCCCAAGAGCAAGAATGAGCCCTCAAAAATTAAAATCTCAGTGAATATGATTATTGATAAGAGCATTCACATGTCATGTACTGTTGTACATAACTATGGGCACTATTACATAACTCGCAGGACTGCTCAGTGCTAATCCTCAGCATCAAGGCGGCTAAACTAGCAGCATGCGCCCTTGGACCGACTGCAAAGAGTCGCAAGCTGTGGGAAACGTTTCACCCCCTTTTTTGGGCTACGGGTAGTTACTGTATAAGGGAGGGGAAAGGGTACCACTCGGCTACCACGTTCACCTAGCTCGTCTTCCGTCTTCGCAAGGCCTCGCGGCCTCGTAGCTTCACATTCGATCCTTTAGGGTTTACCTGGGGGTCTATTTACCTACAGCTTCGCAGTACCTATACCCCTTAAGTAGCAGGTATAGCCCACAAAGCTGTAGGTAGAAAGGGTCCCACTTACGCGGTCAGTTCACCTGATCATGGTTTGTTATCGAGGGCCCCCCCTCCCATGCCGATTGAAGCCCAGATGATAGAGTGACCCCTAAAGATTCAGTAACTCCAGACGATCTTGGGCCCAAAATCCCCAAACCCTAAACCCGAAACCTGAAACCCTAAACCCTAAACCCTAAACCCTAAACCCTACGCCCAAAATCCACGCCACAAGCCCCTTGGGTTTCCGGGCCACGGCTGCCGGTCAAAGCGGGCTACAAGCTGTGCCGAGAGCGGCTCACGGACCTGCGGCGGGTTTAGGGTTTAGGGTTTAGGGTTTTGGGTTTAGGGTGTAGGATTTAGGGTTTAGGGTTTAGGGTCCGCCAACCCTGGCGGTGTGTTGGATGGTTTTGGGGGAGGGAACCCTCCCCCTCCCCTCCCTTACACCCCCAAAAACCTTAAAACGGGGGGCGGCCAACACTCCCAGCCCCCCCACAGCCCCTCCTACCTACCCTCCCGCCCACTCACGCCCCCCACTCCCCACCCCCCCCCCCCCCCCCCCCCCCCCCCCCCCCCCCCCCCCCCCCCACACCCCCACACCAATACCCTACAGCCCAACCAAACCTGCCCCAAAGGTCGAACCCAAAGCCCTAAGCTACCCTAAAGAGAAGAGCATTCGACCCAGACACCTGGAGTGAGGGTTCTTGAGGGAGTAGGGTTCTGGGTATAGGGTGTGGGGTTTAGGGTTAGGGGTTTGAGGGTTGAGAGGTTTCGGGCCTCTTGGGTCGGCGGCCTGAGCCGGAGGCTCCTAAATTTCGGGTTTAGGGTTTAGGGAGGCTCTTCAAGGGAACGTGGGGGGTTTGGGGTTTAGGTTGGGATGTTCCCCCTTATACTATCAGTCCTTAATAGGGATTCTAATATCCCCTATTATAAGCCCCATTACGGACTGCTAGTATAAGGGGGAACATCCCAAGGTTTAGGGTTTGGGGCGCAAGACGGGGACACGTCATGAGCGGAAGTCAGGCAGGTGGGTGGGAGGGGTGGAGGGAGGGTAAGGGGGAATGGAGGGCAAGGAGGGTAGAGGAGGCCAACTCTTGCGCAGAAAAACCAAGACTGGCGACGCTAACTTTGAAGAACTAGCCGAACTCCCAGAGCAAAGGCAAAGGCACAGCCACTGCCAAAACAAGGAACTACGGGGCTTCGGTTTTGGGCTCATTCCCTATAAGACCCAAACAGGCTATGACATAATCTTACATATGATAAAATAACGTTTGGTTGCAGACTATTACATTTAATTGCATATTAGAATCGACAATGATATATTATTACAAAGTGTCATCTGTCAGGTTGGGAACGTGGTAGGGCCTTCTCGCGGCCGTACATCGCAAGCAGCGACAACCGCGCCGAGATCGGAATCACATGGTCCTGTTCACGGCACGGCCTCTACTTTATAAACCACAATCGGCGGGTAGTTGTTCAAGAAAACATGCACTAGACCTCGGATCTCGGTCTCGGTACGTTCCGGTCCTCTGCGACAATCACATCCTTGTAGTTGCGAGCTTGCCGCTGAGACACTTTCTTGCAGACTTCCTTGGGCCCGTCCTGCAGAAGCAGGGGAGAATGCCTTGGGCTGGGAGCACTGCAGTTGCAGAACTGCAGGAGCCCGTGGTAAGGCTGCCCCGCGTGCAGGCTTTGCGCTCTTTCGCGTGCCAAAGCTCGAAACCTGGTGTCTTTCCGCGAGTGTACTGGACAGGGAGTGAAGCGGTTCCACATATCCGTCAAGGTGGTCGGCCCTTGCTTGACACCTCTTGATGCTGGTGCAAAATCCTTTACGAAACGCATCAAGAACAACAAAAGAGCTTGCTCCTTGCAAAAGAACTCAGGGAGCTGATCGATGCGGTTGGCAATAATCCAAGCATCATCACGGCGAAGTCCCCCAGCTTCCTGCAGCTGTCTGCTGGGAACACAACTAGAAGATGCAAAGCTGCCTGCCTTATGTCATACGTACAAAATGTACATGTGTATGTGTATGTGTATGTATATGCATATGCATGTGTACGTGTATGTGTATGTATATGTATATGTATGTGTATGTGGATGTGTATGTGTATGTGTATGTATATGTGTATATATTTTGTATTGCAATAGTCATCAATATCCTCCTCGTCATTCTCATCATCCACACAGCATCATCATGTTTTTCCTGCTCCTTCTCGTTTTCTATTGCTCCTCCTCCTCCTCCTCCTCAGAAGCAGAAGCAGAAGCAGAAGCAGAAGCAGAAGGCAGAAGCAGAAGGCAGCAGCAGCAGCAGCAGCAGCAGCAGCAGCAGCAGCAGCAGCAGCAGCAGGCAGAAGCCAGAAGGCACAAGCCAGAAGGCAGAAGGCAGAAGGCAGAAGGCAGAAGGCAGAAGGCAGAAGGCAGCAGGCAGCAGGCAGCCGGCAGCAGCAGCAGCAGCAGCAGCAGCAGCGGCAGCGGCAGCGGCAGCGGCAGCGGCAGCAGCAGCAGCAGCAGCAGCGGCACCAGCACCAGCACCAGCACCAGCAGTTCGTGGCACATCACTTCTGAGAGGGCCGAACCCCTATGACGACAAACCGGAACCGTATTCTCGAAGGCTCAATTCGAAGCATGTCCTGATCAAACGCTTCTCTCAGCAAGTTGCCCATCCACTGCCTCGGGCTCTTTGATGTAAGGAGCTTGCTGAGAGCTTTGAGGCTTTCAGAGCTCAGACAAGGCGAGCTCGCAAGGGTTGTGGGCTGCACCATCTGCCCCATTCTGCAATTGAATGCTATTACTACTTGGAGCTTGAGAGCTCATGCGACATGGAGAGACCACTAGAAAGCCAACCATTCATGCTCGAAGATGCGGCAAGGATGTCTTGAGCCTCCAGCCGTGCACCAGATTCGAAATTTTTCTGTTGTTCCATATATGTATACATAACATACATAAATCCATACACACACATAGAATGTGCATAGTACATGCACATATAAATAGATCATCCTACGGCACGCTGCAGTCCTCCCCGGCCGACGCTTAGCGCGTGCGAAGCACGTACGTGTGTCTAGTAGGCGTATAGAAACCTAGACATTGGAAGTACCAATTCTACGATTACGAATACCTACGGCGTCGTTACTGAGCCTGCGGCGGGACTTCATGCTTCGAGGCGTCGATGACCACCTCCGTCAGGATGCAAATGTGGAACTGTGGAACCATGTGCATTGAGGCCCGTGGCTCCTGCTGAATGTGCTGCGCATACTTCGTAAGTACTAGGTGCTTTTAAAGAAAGCCTATCAACGGAATTACCAAGATCCAAACCGAGAATCCAAATTTAGAAGAAACCCTGCAAGGCAACACGGAACAACACATGATACGAGGGCAACCGCGCGCCATCCTGAGCCCTCGGCCAACGCGCCGTCCGCCTCACGCAAGGCAGCGCGGCACAGCGCCTGCGCGTCCTCGGGTTTAGGGTATTTAGGGTTATAGAGGAGGGGGTTATGCTTTCATGTAAAGACCATTTTGGTGTTGCTTCTGTTGTGGGGGGGGGGGAGGGGGAGGGGGGACCGTTGCAGACACTTTGCCCTCAAAGCGGCTCCAAACTCCGGAAGGCAGGTCCAAGATTCAGACTGCCTGTCAGCAGCCCTATTGGTGGTGACAGAAACAATTCCTAGTGGACGCAAAGGAGCTTAAAGAAGTTTAGTGTGTCGTAGCAGCTGATAACATCGAAGAGCAAAAGATAATTTCGTAATGCTTGAAGACTACCTGGAAGCAGTTCGAAATCGACACTAATGTGGCGTCGTAAGTCACGGGTGATCCGAGCTAATTGGGAGCCCTGCCGCCTTGTGCAAGAGACGGTCTACCCTCTTATAAACCATCTAAGCCCTAAATATCCTTAAACAAAACCCTCTAAACCCTAAAACCCCTGTAAACCCTACAACCCCCTATAAACCCTATAACTCCTACAATCCCCTCCGTTCTTTACACCTCTATATAACCTCCCTCAAAACCCCACAATCCGCCCTCGGTCCTGGGTCTCCCAAAGTGTCTCGGTGTCAGGGCTGGGGAGGTCCACAAGGGAGAGGAGCCCCGTGTCGGTGAGCTGAACCTGGCGCTTTCAAAAATCCGGAACTAAGGGTTTAGGGTTTCGGGTTTAGGATTTAGGGTCTGGGGGTATAAGGAGGGACCCCTGGAAGGGACCCTTCATCTGATTCCCCTGTATATCTACCTTCTAAAGTCTTATAAAGTCTTATAAAGTTCCTAGATACCTAAGTTCGGAAGCCGGAACTTTGTCGGAGGTTAGCTAGGGTGGCCCTCAACAGCCCTCTGAAAATGCATACCTGAAGATGATCCTCTTAAACCCAAAAAGGGAAAACATTCAATGTTCCAAGGGCCCACCGAGTTAGCACAGTAGTGATGATATTACGGGCCTGTAGGGTTCACGGATGGTTTAGGGTTTAGCTTAGGGTTGAGGGGGTGAGGTCAGTTCAGTCGCCTCTTCATGTTCGACGGAACCCTAACCCTAAATCCTAAACCCTAAACCCTAAACCCTAAACCCTAAACCCTAAACCCTAAACTGGCCCTAAACCATAAAACCCTAAACCCACGGAGCCCACGATGCTGGCAGCATCGCGCAGGGGCGAAATCGCAGCAACCTAGCTTGCTCACGCCAGAGTACGGAATGAGGGCATCAAGCATCGTACTCCAAACCCTAAACCCTAAACTCTATAGTGTCCTATTTGATTAGGGTTTAGTTGCGGATCTTCAGCGGTTGATGCGCATCATATTACCCCAAACCCCAAACCCCAAACCCCAAACCCCAAACCCTAAACCCTAAACCCTAAACCCGAATACACAAGAAGTCTTAGGCCTCCAGATCGGAGAGAGGGGAGAAGGCCACCTCCACCCGGACACACCTGGCGCATGTCCGGGGTTCGGCTCTTTAGACGGTTTAGGGTTTAGGGTTTAGGGACTTTAGGGGTTTCGGCTCTTTAGACTTTATGGGTACTTTAGGGAATTTTATTGGGGGTTTAGGCACTTTAGGGACTTTCGGGGACTTTAGGGTTTAGGGACTTTCGGGGTGTTGGGACCTTTGGGGCCTTTAGGGGCTTAGGGTTTAGGGACTTTAGGGGTTTCGGGTTTAGGGACTTTAGGGGTTTAGGGACTTTAGTGGTTTAGGGTTTAGTGACTTTAGGGCGACTTTAGGAACTTTAGGGACTTTAGGGTTGGCGGGTTGGGGTTTCAGGACTTTAGGGGTTTCGGGACCCTGAACCCTAAAACCCTAAACCCTATACGACCCCGAAAAGGGACCAAAAGGCCCGCTTGGGAGATCTACTGTGTAACTTTTCGAGGCAAGGACTCTTCCAAGGCTGCCATAAGCCTAAACCCTACGATTTAGGGTTTAGGGTTTAGGGTTTAGGGCCTGACTTCTGTCAAGGTGCAGGGAAGGTCGGCAGAGGGCCGCCAACTCTTCTGCAGAGACTATTCCTGCAGAGCTTCGGAATTTCTTCCAAGGGTTTAGGGTTTAGGGTCTAGAGTTTAGGGTTTGGGCACGACCCGGTTGTGCGGCTGGAACATTGATGCTCTGGCGAAAGGGGCTTCTGGCTAGTTCCAACTGCTACTGCACTGCGTGGCTTTCATACCATTCATTCGGAATGTTGCTTGGGCTTTTCGAGGAGCAGCAACTCAAGCACTACTGGGAGCCTCGCATCCGCTCCAACAACCTTGCGCCTCATGACATTCCATTCTCTCGTATCCCTAAACTCTGCTGTGCTATCCATATACCCAACACCCTAGAACCCAAGAACCCTACAGACTTTAGACGAATCACTTCCCACGAGGTCCTAGAGTTCGACACCTGTGGATGGTGCGGTGCACCTGCGTCGTTGCATGCAGCAGAAGCAGAAGCAGGCACAAAGTAGAAAGGTTGAAGGTGTAGGGTTTGGGGCTTAGGGTTGAGCTATCACCATGGTCATTTGCTGTCGGAGAGAAGATTCTGCAAGTTGGAGCAGCACCAGGAAAGGCCCCCCCCTGCTCGATGTGGTCAGCGTTAGAAGGCAATAAGTCCACAAGATCAGGCCCCCTAAGCCCTAAACTACCCTAAATCCTCAGCCCCCCCCCCCCCCCCCCCAAAGCCCTAAACCCTCAACCCCACCCAATAGGCTTCACAAGGCTGCAAGTCGTAGAAGGGTCAACTCAGGAGCTACCAACCCTGCAGCAAAATCCGGGAGGAACGACGACGAACGGCTCAAAACACCAATGTCGTATAACCTATATCGGACCTTCATGGCCTCTGCATCTAGGGCCATCGGACTCGACATTGTTCAGGGGTATTTAGGGCCTTTAGACTATAGGCGTTGGGCAGGCCCTAAACCCTAAACCCTAAAACCCGAGAGAGGGAGAGCGGGTGGGTTGAGAATTCAGAATCAGCCTCAGGCTCGACAATCCTTAGACAGCTCCTATCAAAGAATGAGATGCGGCGGGAGGCCAGGTTCCTCAACGTTTTAGGTTTAGGGTTAGGGTTTAGGGTTTAGGGTTTAGGGTTTAGGGTTATAGGGTGAGAGGGTTAGAGGGTTAGAGGGTTAGAGGGTTTAGGGTTTCATTGCCTCTGTCCAGGCAGGAACATGGCCGGAAGCACGCCCCTCCCACCGTCCGGCCGCAACCATTCGATGCTTGAAACGAAAGCAAGCAGACTTGGTAGCCCAGGAACCATGTTATGGTGAGGGTACCCTATTCTGGGTTGCTTACTGTATACGGCAACTTAAACCAAAAACAAGGGAAACGTGTGCCACTGCGCTACTAAGCTTCAAGCATCCCCTACCCCCATTTCTCCCCCCTCCCCCCCCAACTCGGGCCCCAAACCCTCAACCCTCAACCCTCAACCCTAAACCCTCAACGCTAAACCCTCAACCCTAAACCCTCAACCCTAAACTTAGGCCCTAAACCCTAAGCCCTTATAAACCCCAAACCCTAAACCCTCAACCCTAAACCCCTAAGCCCTCTAAACCCCAAACCCTAAGTTTGCAGGCAAGGCGCCGATTCCAAGGCGCCGGCCACGGCGTCGATGCCCTCGTGTAGTTTGGGGAGTGTCGGGTCGGGCGCTCGAGGTTTTGGAGGGGCTGAAGTCGCAGTTTAGGGTTTAGGGTTTCAGGAGGCTAAGGGCTTATAAGGGCTTAAGGGTTTAAGTTTAAGGGTTCAGGGGTTTGAGGGTTTGAGGGTTTGAGGGTTTGAGGGTTTGAGGGTTTGAGGGTTTGAGGGTTTGAGGGTTTGAGGGTTGAAGGGCTTGAGGGCTTATTTAAAAAGATCCTTGAACATCCCTCAGCCCCTGGCTGCACATCCCAAAGCCCTGACAAAAGAAAAAAAGAGCTGAGCCCCTTAAAGCGCTGAGAACCAGAAGAACCACACTAACTCACTAAGCCCTCTCAGGACTCCTTAAAATAGCGCAGCACCTGCTAGAGCTGAACCCTGAACCAAAAACCCGTAAACCCGTAAACCGGTAAACCCCTCACCCCCCGAGCTCCAAAGACCCCTACATAAACCCCTAAGCTCCCAAAGACCCCAAGCTTCCTCAACTTCCTTAACCAAAAAAAAACGGCTGCCTCTACAGCTTCGCCTTTCGGCGCCAGGGGCGGGCCCTGCAGGCAAAAAGGGGGGGGGGGGGGGGGGCCTACATGGAGTTTTTCTTTGGGGGTTATAGGGTTTCTAGGGTTCATAGGGTTTAGGGCTTGAGGATGTTTAGGGTTGTACTAGGGAGGGTTTTGGGGTTTTCGGGTTGGGGGGGAGGGGGTGGGGGTTTAGGGTTTAGGGTTTAGGGTTTAGGGTTTAGGGTTTAGGGTTCAGGGTTCAGGGTCCAGGGTTTAGGGTTTAGGGCTGTCCAAGGTGCACGCCGGGCTAGCCTTGCTTTCTTGGGGTAGTTGCATGGTCCCTTGCTTGGTATGGGCCCTTAAAGAGGGACCCCGCTTTACCCCTTATATACCCTATACAACCCCCTTTTAATAAGAGGGTAAGGACCATACTGCGCTCTGGGGTTCTTATGTGGGAGTCAAGGGACGTGACGTCATGACAGCTCCGACAGAACAAGCGCTTGGGGGTTTAGATGCAGCTTGCGGAAGCTGTAGAGGTTGCTTTCTTGACAGGAAGCGCTCAGGGGCGCCTTTGATAAGGTTGACTGCCCACCTCTGCGCTTTGACTGATGCATCCTGTAGCCCTCTGGATATCCTCCGCCGCCCCTCAACAAAAAGAAAACTCCGCACACTGAAGCCCCCAACGGAACCCAAAGCTCTGAGCCTTGCATCTACATCCAACCCTCAGCCCTAAACCCCAATACGTTAAACTCGAAAGAGTTAGAAAAATCCTTATCCCCATACCCCAAAAGGTGAACTGAAGGGAATCCCGGCTCGAGTCATCCTTAAACCATGCTCCAACTTTCTGGGGTAGACTGCACGCCCCCGAGCCTCAAACTCTAAACCCTAAACCGTAGACCCTAGACCCTAGACCCTAAACCCTAAACCCTAAACCCACAAGCCCCCATCTATATATACATATATATACATCTATATATATATATACATCTATATATATATATATACATATATATATATACATATATATATATATATATGGATACAAACATAAACATAAAGGTGTGTGTATATTTATATATATATATATTGATTCATATTTCTTTGTAATTGATTTTGTGTATGCACGTGCATCAGTTCGGCCTCTAGCTCTTTGGCCTCCGGTGATGCCACAAGCTTAGCAACCCATGTGGCAAGGAGCTGAGACAGCTCCTTGGCCAGGGCTTTGGGCTCAGGGGGCCGAATTTGGGGTCTGTTTAAGGTTTAGGGTTTCGGGCTTGGGGCTGGGTTTTTTCGAGGGGGCTTCAGGGGTTGAGGGGGCAGGGAATTTAGAGTTTCAGGGTTTGGGGTTTCAGGGATTTGGGGGTTTACGGGCCTTCAGGGTTTTACCACGACGCAATGGCGAAGGGGTTTACTTCGGGCCTCTCGTAGTTGCAGGAACACCCTATCCTAAAACCACAAACCCCAAACCCCAAACCCTAAGCCCTAAAGCAGTTTAGGGCTTAGGGCGGCAAAGGCTTCTTGAGGCCCCGGCACACCCAACATGCATGCGTCTAGGAGCCCAAAAATCAAAAAGGCGGGGGGGGGGGGGGGGTTTGACTGGGGTTTAGGGTTTAAGGGTTGAGGGTTTCCGAAAATAGGGGTACCTTATTGGGGTCCTTATCATGAGGGAACGGGGGACGGGGGGGGGGGGGTATATTAGGGTCCTTCATTTCGGAAGCCCACAAATAGATCGGGCGTTTTTGCGCAAGCCGCGCGGTCGCGCGATGATGGGGAGGGTGTTCGGTTTCTTTGTAATGTTCTGGAGCTCATGGACCTGGATACGAGGGCATTTTGACCCTGGGGCTTGCGCGCTTTGGGTTTAAAGGCTCGCTGAACGTCCTCAACCAAAGCCCTATAAGCTAATGGCAACAAAATGAATAATAACATTGATAATGATGATGATGATGATGATGATGATCATGATCATGATCATGATCATGATCATGATGATGACGATGATGGTGAGCGTCATCGTCATGGTTATGATGGTGGGTGATGGCGAGGAGGAGGAGGACGACGACTATGACGATGATGATGATGATGATGGTGACGACGACGACAGTGGAGATGGTGATATAATGCTAGAGCTGGAACGACAATAAAGGCACGACAATAATGATAAGCCTGCTAATAAACATAGTAATGGCAATTATGACAGTAGTGGGTGGAGGAGGCTTAAGGGCTTGCAGCCATCAGCTGTTTGTTCCGGTGCATGCAAACCCTAAACCCTAAACCCTGAATCCTAAACCCTAAACCCAGCACAACCTCCTGGGCCCCCAAAACGTGCAAGTCTTTCAGAAAAGAAGAAGCAAGCCCGGTCCTCCGACATGGTCATGCGGGGCACGGCCAGGCCGGGTGTGTGAACCTGAGCATGGCTAAGAGAAGCTGCTTCGCGAGGAGGGTCTGAGGTTTTAGGGGTTTCGGGTTTACCTGGCTGAGTAGATTTTGGCTGCCTCTGAGCGCCCGCTTCAT